CAACTGTATCAGCAGTTTTCTTGCAGATTGGAGCAACAAAGTCGTAGTAGAAGGTGTATGCTCCATTTATACAAGTCTATTTATGCTGGTGTTCCACAAGGCTACGTGCTATCTATGCTATATCTACGCTGTTTCTTTTGCTTATAAATAATATGTTGCAAACCTGTAACGTACCTATTGATCATTCTACCTACGCATAATCTAATATGATAAAAACCCGCCCATGCGCGGTAATACTGTTTACGGCGCATGCGCTACGACATAGAGTAGCGCACAGTTTTTGTTAGAAATAGCTGTTCTAGTACGTAAGTACATTATACTTCAATGGCTAGTATGAATAAGGTATCAGTAAAATGTTTAGATGGGCGTATCCTTCCTTTTGAAATCATTGCATTGGGGGGTTTGATGTCCGTCAGGGTACATGTATTTTGTGGTTCGATGTGGCTGAAAACAATTTCGTGTAAGTGTGGGGCGTAGTTCTTTTTTTCGATACCTAGCTGACACACTGTCTCGTGCATGGATAACGTGCAACGTGAAAACAAATTCTCAATCGATCTCTTGCTGTCAGTATTACTGACAAATGCACACATTATCTTCACTGAAGCTGAACATAGGCCGCCCCTAAGGAATGCTAGAAAGCAGTCCTGAGCCACTTGCATGTCTTACTAGCTCATCACTATCTGGTGGGGGTAAGCCCTACACTTCGCTTACCGGTTTGACGATGGACTTACTTGAGATCCTTTCTTACCCATCGATCGTCGGCTTCGAACTATATGGTCGGCCCATCGCCACTTCAGTTTACTAATTTGTTGATCTTTGTCGGTTTCTCTGGTTCTACTGCGGGTATCCTCTTTACGAAATCTATTACGCAAACTAAATCTGAGCTCTCCATAGCTCGGCCAGTGAGCTTGCGTTTCCTCAGTGTTACGTACTATAGATGATACTAATAAATGCCGATGTACACTTATGCTGGAAATCACCGCTTGGAGGCGATCGGTCTGCCAATCATGCAATTAATTTAATGTTTTGATTTATAAATTAAAATATTCCGTCAAACTTAATTAAGAAATTAGGAATTTAGTTTTAAACCTTCTTTAATTGAGTTTCTGAGTTCACACGTTGTATTAGAAATTCGGCATTTATTTTTACAAATTTATTTAATGAAATTACTATAATCCGTACCGGGTACCTTGCAGGCAAAGATAAGTTAGTGTAACAGCGGAAATATGAATAAAACTACTTCAATATTAATTTCATTTTTATTACAAAAAAATTATTAAAAATCATTCATCTTAGCTTCTAATGCTACAAACTAAATTATAACCTATTCTTATATCATAACGCTATGTTAAATGGATGTTGAAATGCTGGCAGTGGAAAAAAACAGTAACTATTAATGACACTGCTAAATATCTGTAAGTGATACAACTATTGCTTGTATAACACCACCACTGAAGTGTAAAAACTGTATATCTGGAAGTCCTTAATTCTACTATTCTCATACACCTAGTAATTAAGGAATGGATTTGTGGTCCTTTATATTATGTGCCTCTGACTACAAAACAAAAAACAACAATTTAATGGATGTAAGAATATTTACAAAATTGCACGCTATTGTAGTTATAAAAAATATACAAAAATCACCCTAAAATGGTTCATTTTTAAAGTTTATTGCTGTTTATCAACCTACTTGTACAAAACAGATACAAAATTGTCACTTTATGTTTAAGTGCAATATTTATGATCACTGACAGTTAACTTCAACATTCCGTATATATATCTAATAGGTGTGGGTTTTTATATATTTACTGCCTGGAGGGATAACATTTACAAAATATACTAATGGAGAAACATCTTGTGTGGCAAAACAATATGAATTATAAGTTTTATTAAGAAATTGAATGAATAGAATTCTTTGATCACACCTCGTTGAACATATTGTTGACATTATTTAGCAAAAATATATGTATATAGATAGATATGCTTAACTTTGAAGTCTTGAATATTGGGATTAATATTTAGATGTAATTTATTTTTACAGTTCTTTTTCTGGCAGCACAAAATCTTATGCAGTCAAAAAAAGATAAATAACAACTGTAAAATATAATGTTCTTAGGCTTTAAAATATCCTTGATTTGTTACAAAGATGTCATCTACAGTGGTATATTCTTCAACAATATTTTATCCTTAGACAGATCTCCAGCAATTTGACATATTAAACTAATGAAAACACTTTCTAACACAATTTCACGACCACAAACACTACCTACACAACAATTTTGCAACACAATAGTGACTGAACTCTTAACATTCACAGGTCGTGTGACAAGTTTATTAAGCAATCTCATATCACAGTTTCATTTAATCTAAGTGATTACCATAGTATAAAGAGATTGCTAAGATCTATTAAATTAAATTCACAAATACAATGTTTGCAAGTTCATTATGTGTATACATTTTTTTTATAATAGACAATACTTAATTGAATTTCTTAAGCTCCAAATAGATTTTATTGTGATTTATTTTACACTACCAAATTTATGTTAAAATTCATTTGATCTCTACGCAATCACTGTTAATTTGACCAAGATCATTAGTTTTAACTGGTATAGACAATCGGTTTCTGACACGATATTTTTTTCCAAATTATGAAATTATTTTACAATGTTAGCGGTATTTAATTAGATTTGCTACCAACATGTAAAATTACTTAAATGTTAATCAAATATTGGCATATTGATTTCAAAACTTTGATGGTAAAAGAAATTATCCAAAACAATATTAGTTTTTAATATTTAAAAAAATACCCAATAAAAAGTTTTGTTTCATTACAAAAACTTTTAGTGTCGTTTCCTAAACTATTCTGATATTCTATTAGCATAATATGTATTCGGACGCCAAAAATATTTAATTTTTACACATTATTAAATGTACAGTCGCCACGTGAATTGAAAACAAGTCATCGCTTATATTACGTAAAAAAATCCTGTTACGTGTGATATTAATATGATGTTAGTTATTGAATTATTTTGAAGTATAAAAATCATCTAAGCCTTTGTTTTTATTTGTCGAGCAATCAATTTAAACTTCTCATTTTCGAAGGAAAGAAAATACCGTTTTTAAAAAAATGTAAGAAAAAAACATTTTTGACTTTATTTCCCCATAATGAAGCTATTCTTTGAAACCAATTTTGAATTATATTATGATGTAACATAATAAAAGAGCGCATTATTAATTAATTTTGCCCCGAATTACCACCGGTCTGAAGGGTAATATGGAGCCAGTATAATAAACAGGGTGTGAGGCATTCCATCTTAGTAGTATTTCTTTGTTTAGAGATGTTTGCAGGTGTCCATACGCTGCAGCAGCCATTGCCATTAGGTGCACTGTGAGTACTTGTCACTTTAAATTTATAAAAAAAGTAGTTTAAAAAGGTTTTTTGCATTGTATTCTATGTATCATGCCTCATCAATAAAGTATTTAAATGCAAAATATTTTACATTTAAATAATTTATTGATTTATTACACTTACTAGACAGTTCAAATACGTAGGGAACAAATACATGATAGCAACACTAATATCTAAATAATTATAATAACTGAATTTTTTTACAAATGGAAGTTATGAATTATGAAGAGTTCAGAACTTCTATTCGTTCATTTCATTTACTCGTACAAATTTAACAAGCATAACATTGTGAAATGTTGAAAAAAAATATTAATGATAAAACAAATTAAGTCTGAGCCCTTGTATTTTTATAACCGCTTTGAAAATACATAGCTTTATGTGAGATATCGAAAGACAATATAATGTTAATCCTAAGATTTACTTGTATCTTTGTTACTAGTCCAACTAACGAAAGCAAACCTTCGAATACATTGAAATATTAATTTGTTGACTCAGAATCTCATATAATAAGCCGTTTACGCATTTGAGTTGAAAACTAGGGTACTGAAATTTCAGCCCAACTCTTAATTTAATAAGAATTTAAGAATTGTGATCGAATTTCAGTCTAAATTAAAGTTTTACGCAAATTGATGATTTTTCTTCTCAGTAGGATTAAACTCTTTGTTTTCAAAAAATATACTAACAGTTTTAATATTAAGATGACTATTAAAAGTGACGGCTCAGAAATTAGTTGTTTATTTACTTTAAAGAGAAAGCATTAAAATAAAATCTAATTTTACGTATAGCCTTTAATTAATAACAAATTATAATTGTTTTGATAACAGTTTTCGGTACTTTTTAGGTCGGAGGGCCTAAAATATAGAAAGTATTTTAGGCCTTCCCTTGACCTTAAAAGTATTTTAAATATGATCCAAGATATCGTGATTTAAATAAAATATTAACTAAAGCGCGCACGCAAAATTGCTATTATTTTAATGTGTGAGGATTACCAAATTAGTAAGTCTATGTCAAGAGATTCTTATGGTAGCTGCCAGCGTCAATATATAAAAACCATACATGTGTTACAGTTACAGATATATACAAGCGGTGGGACTTAATGAACATACCCGATATGCCGCGTGCTACTGTATTAAGACATTTAATTTTTCTTTGTCTTTTTGCTTATAAATGTGTTAAGACAGCAGCCGACATTGTCTTTGTACTGACAGTATATGGCTGAAAAAACAACCAGTTAAAAACTATAATCGGAACCTGCTTCGAAATACAATCGTACCAAACTCAATTAAGTAAAGTATGGGCCTGGTTTCACTTAAATATTACAATTATTATACAGTGAACGATATGTAACAAGTGTTCGGCATTCAATTAAACATGTAAATACACTTATCTGGTACGGACTATCACGTTTTTTTAAAGAAATTTACAGTCAATAAAACACACATTCAGTTCTTCTAAGCCGTTCACAAATAGACAACTAAAATTTCACTCAGTTTAAAAAAATGGAACTTCACTGGAGACACTACATTGCTACGCTGACCCCGCGCTAATCACATTACTATCGAGTCCTCACTATAAAATTTATTATTATAGATTAGATTAACGCCACTCGGTTCACGAGAGGGGTTTTCCGTCTGCTTGTGTGGGTGGGTGTTGACACTGGTTGATAGATGTAGCTTGTTTTTGACCTTTTCGCCGGATGTACTGTTGAATAATTTAAAAGCAAATGAATGAAATGAAAAAACTACGTTTTTTTTTCAACAAAGAGCACATAATGTAAAAGAATATACTAACTTGTGTAATTTTCAGTCATTGATACATCAAGTTTCACAGGTTTCGTTACATCTATATCGATTTCTTCGTAGGAATGGTCTAATACCTGTAACAATAACAATGTATTGGATAAAATTAATAAATCAACTCACTAAAAGCTTCAAAGGTGGAGGATGTCTCTGGTGATCAATTTGCTTGGCAATGAAATCCTCCTTTCCTTCAACTTACAACTTACTATTTTCACACACACACACACACACACACACACACACCCAACCCACACCTGGACTGGAAAGGATACGGTATCAACATCAATGGCGAGTACATCACTCACCTTCGATTTGCCGACGATATAGTTCTTATGGCAGAATCGCTGGAGGACCTAAGCACTATGCTCAATGACCTCAATAGTGTTTCCCAACGGATAGGTCTTAAAATGAACATGGACAAAACAAAGATCATGTTTAATGTCCATGTCACACCTATGCCGGTAGTTGTTGGGAACACTAAGCTCGAAGTTGTTGACGAGTATGTTTACCTGGGACAAATAGTCCGACTAGGTAAGTCCAACTTCGACCGAGAGGTCAATCGACGGATTCAACTCGGTTGGGCAGCGTTCGGGATATTACGGCACATCTTCTCGTCAGGTATACCTCAAACCTTGAAAACGAGACTGTACACCCAGTGCGTGTTGCCAGTGATGACATACGGAACTGAGACGTGGTCCTTCACTGCTGGCCGGATGAGAAAGCTCAAGGTCGCTCAGCGAGCTATGGAGAGGGCTATGCTCGGAGTTTCTCTGCGTGATAAACTTAGGAATGAGGATATCCGCAGTAGAACCAGAGTAACGGACATAGCCCAACGGATTAGTAAGCTGAAGTGGCAGTGGGCCGGCCATATAGCTCGAAGAACCGACAACCGATGGGGAAGAAAGGTTCTCGAGTGGCGGCCTCGTACCGGTAGGCGAAGTGTAGGGCGTCCCCCCACGAGATGGAGTGACGACCTGGTAAGACATGCAGGAAGTCGATGGATGCAGGTGGCTCAGGACCGTGCTTTGTGGCATTCCTTGGGGGAGGCCTATGTTCAGCAGTGGACTTGTGAAGGGCTGTAATGATGATGATGAATGATTTCTTATATTAACGCGAACACTACACATTGAATCAAATTAATTTTACGGATTTCTTCAATATCAAGGTAGCTTTATCAAGCAATTAAAAAAATCAAAATTAGTTACGTTTTAAGTAAATATGTGATTTTCAAAGCATTAAGTCCGCCATATGTACGAATTTTCTTTTGTGCATAAAAATTTAAATAAATAAAAAAAATATCTTAAAGCTTACTTCAATGTCGCTAACTTCCTCGCTCGATTCAATGTCGGTGATGTAGGACGTGAGTGAGGAGGGTCCGGTTGCAAGTAGACGGTAGGTGCCTCCCACCATTCCAGTGCCTTCCACTACTTCCTCCACTTCTAATTCTTGGTCAGATGTCTCCTGGACATTAAAAAATTAATTAAAATCACTTATGCTACAAAATGTCATTATAATATAAACATCATTTAAATGTATACAAAACGTGACCCTATTATAATTATTGTAAAGATGAATTAAAATTTCGATATCTCTAATTACAAACCGCGATAGGCGTGATGATATAAATTTTATTTACATTTTAATTAACATTGTGCTATCAAATAATCCTGTACATTTAACCGAACATGTTAAAAAATATTAATGAATTAAAACATTTAAAAATTGTTAGAATATACATTATTATAACATATAACCAATTTGTAATTACAATCTTTTCTAAACTATAAGCTATGCGACTCCCCTCCCTAAATGCAGTGAACCTGGTAAGATATGCAGGAAGCTTGATGGATGCGAGTGGCTTATGGTTAACAACTGTTTTATGACAGTGGATCAGAATAGTGGACTTCTGATGGACTTTAATGAAAAAAATGATAAAGTCGCCCAGCGGCATTTGTATACCCCTCTTAATCCAGCTTTATAATTATATATGGATTTTGTATCTGTTTGAATCATTGAAACAGACACAGAAACTTTTTTATTCAATACAGATTATAAATAATACTTATTAAGTCACTCTTTTGTATGATTACCACTGGTTCGATCAACGGTACGGCCCCGTCAGAGTCTCGGAGGAAAGCGCGAGTGGCGCATCGCCATACCTACACCTATCTTCCCTCGCGATTCCACCTTGGCTACAGCGGTATGTAGGGGAGGACAACCATCTCACCGAAGCCCACCAACACACATCCAAAGTGGGCTTGCCAAGCTCACTCGGAGTGGCTACCTCGGGCCAGCCATGTGGGTACCTCTTAGTTCACCGTGGGGACTAAACGACGACAAGCCAGGAACCCATCGGAAGGGGGGGGGGGACATTTATATAACCTAACCTTAATTACTTTAAAGACACTTTTTAAAACAATAATGTACCAAAATTGAAATTAACAAATGTAACGTGAAGGAAGGGAAAATCTTCCTTTGTGTGATAAAAAAATTGTATGATGTAAAACTTAATTCCCATTGTGTTTAAATGTTAAATATGTAACACAAAAAAAAAACATAACCCAACATAGCCTAACCAATCTTTTTATTTCTCTGAAACAGAAACTTTTTTATTCAATATAGATTACATAGAATTATTACGCATAGAAACGCAGTCCAGTACAAAACACGAGCGTTAAAATGATGCAAAGTCATAATGTTAGTGGGCGCGAGTCGAATGTGCCTACGCTCGTCACACGCACACATACACGCCATTCAGTGATACCAGTATCTGGCGTTTGCAATCAAATTGTGCAAATCACTATTTTTTGATTAATTTTAAAAAATCGATATATTAAAGATTACGTATTACGTACGAAGATATATTTTATGAGAATATAAAATGGAATAAAATAAACACGATAATGATGGTACTAATATAACTTAATTATACATATTTTAATGGTACAAAAATACAGACGTAATAAAATTTAAGAATATTATTAAACACAATTAATTTGCTCGAATACAATAAGCACATTGTGTAATATTTAATTTTAACCGACTTCAAAAAGGTTTTCAATTCGGTGTATTTTTTTAAAATGTTTTTTACCTCAGCATTCTACAATTTCTAAACCGATTTAGATTTTAAATGTTCAGAATAAATGCCACTAATAAATGTTCAGAACATGAACTCTCAAGCGTAGTGATACGACATAAACTAGTAAATATAGAATTGTCTTAGAAATCAGTGTACATACATATTGATAACCTCTCCTTTTTGTGAGTCGGTTAAAATAGACTATGTTTGGGTCTAAAATAACATCTGGTTAATGTTTGGGTGTAAAGTGACATCTGGTTAGTTAAGGCGTTCTTATTAATAATATCTTGATGTTGTAAATAGAAAAGTTTTTATTCTATACTCTAAAACGTAGACTTAGTCAATAAACAAAGCAATTAAAATAGTTGCGTTAAAATGGCGTCGGCGAATCGCGATTAGCTGATCACTCCGTATTAGTTTTAAATAGGCACCCATTGTTAATATTATGTTAATACTTGGAGAAGTAGGTATCTATATATAAACATTTGAGTTTTACAGAGAGCTTTGCGATTAAACGTTTTAAACACAAATAGAAAATAAATATTTTTAAAAGAAAATTGTGATTTTTTCCCCACAACTAGCAACATTTGTATGAGGATAGCTTAGGTAAGTATTTTTTTAGTTTTACGTAGTTATAATGAATTAAATATATAAACTTGTATGTGAAATGCAGTACCATCACTTCTTTTATGTTTATCATCACTGTTGTGACAATCTTTTACAACAAAAACGGTCATTTTTACAATTTTTCGCGAGCTCTTCTCCGTAAGACATGACGTTGCGCACTGACGCGTCGCTGAGTGAACTAACGCGGTTTCGCGTTAGTTTAACTTGCTTCACTTTCCGTGCGCGTACTAGTATTCTATGATAGATTATAAATAATACTTATTGAAAGTCACTCTTTTGTATGATTACCACTGGTTCGAAAAAAAAAACCTCTGTCCTGGGAAGAACCAGCAAGAAACCCAGCGGGACTTTTTTTTTAAATAACAGCTTACAATCATGTATGTTACACAAATTAACAACACAACAAATTAGAAATAGCTTGGTAGCGATCACCTCATTTCCAGGGGCTATTATCATCTAAAAATTCATTAATATTATAATAACCCTTTTTATACAAACTTAGTTTAATAAAGTTTTTGAACTTTGAGCAGGTCAAATTTTGTATATTTTCTGGAATTTTGTTGTAAAAGCGTATACATCGCCCCAAGAATGAATTACTGACTCGATGGAGTCGAGTAACTGGTACTACTAGCTTGTGTCTGTTCCTAGTATTTACAGAATGAATATCACTTATTTTTGTAAAACTATTTTTATTTTTGTGTACGTACATTACATTTTCATAAATGTATTGAGAGACCAAAGTTAATATATTAATTTCCTTAAATTTTTGTCGCAGCGACTCTAGGCTTTTCTGCCGACTTCCAAAAAGGAGCCGGTACTCAATTCGACTGTATGTTTTTTTTTTTTCGTATTTTTTTTTTATGTGTGTTACCTCAGAACTTTTTTCTGGGTGAACCGATTTCGATGATTCTTTTTTTATTTGAAAGCTGGTACTTCTCGTGTGGTCCCATATGAATTTGATCAAGGTCAGACCAATAGTTTTTAAGTTATTCTTAAATAACTTATATTGAAGTCGGCTGTACAAAATTTTTAATTTTAAATTATAAATCATAAATTGCTCTTATGGCCCTCTTCTGTAAAACAAATATAATTTCAGTGTCAGCTGCGTGTCCCCATAGCAAAATACCATACGACATTATGCTATGGAAATAGCTAAAGTAAACTAGTCTAGCTGCTTCTAATCTTTTTACAGCATATGCTGCAGAACTAAGTCTGCTTGTTAGTTTTGATATATGGGGGCTCCATTGAAGCTTCGCGTCTAGTGTGATTCCAAGAAAAATTGGTGGTATCTACAAGACTCAGTTTCTCCCCATTTAAAATTACATTAGTATTTAATTGTCTGATATTTGGAGTCTTAAATTTAGGAAGTAGGTCTACGAGGGTCTTATTTCTGTATATCTTATTTCTGTTCGACCTAATAATGCTTTTATTAATAAAACAGTTTTAATTTATAACCTTTCTCTATATTAAATTAAACAGTAAAGAAGTATGTCAGGACTACAGACTAACATTGGTCATAGTGGCCGTTGTCTCCGCTTACCCCTCTGAGTGAAAGATGTGATAGTTTATGTTATTTCATTTTGTTAATTTTTTGACCATTGATCTGTACCATCAGTCCCGAAATTTTATATTGTTTATATAAAACTATTGAACTAACTTGATTTTTATATCATTCATTAATTAATTACAGCATATGAAAAGATCCTGTCACCTATTACGACGTCCATGTGACTTGGGATAGTGGATTTAGTCAAGCCAAAAGGCAAATATATTTTAAAATTTCAGTAAAAACGCTTAGACCCATAAACGCTTCTCCATGAGCCACATTCATTCGATGTATTACTAAATTGTAGATCTCAAAAAGTTAGCCGAACGTTATTGTAGGTAGCCCTCAACGGCCGACCGGCTCTTTCTACCTTTGTATCCGGGCCAAAGCCGCAATTCACTAGTTTTATATAACAAAACATTAATCTAAAGTTAAAGTTCAGAATGCCAACTGCGTTTAAACGAGCTATGTAAATTCAACAGTGTAAACTTAAAATGGATCAAAGACCACATGAGGTTTAGAGGTAACTACGCGGCTGAAGAACTAGTCCGAGGAGGATCAGCAAAAGGTGCCATAGAGCCGGAAAACATCTTACTGATTGCATTTGGGCATGTTCATTCATAGTACGTAAACACTTCATCAATCAACGCTCTCAACTTTGGGCAAGCTAGAAGATAGGCAATGCAAGCCTTAAGTTAAGTTGCAGTTTAAATACGTCCCGCGGCTGGCCACAGACCTCCTCTGATTACTGAGGGGATTTTAGGGCAATGAAAAATCCGCCGCGCTGCAAAATGTGTAGGCGGACTTCACGTGTCTTCGAATTTTTATTTTTCAGACATGCAGATTTCCTCACGATGTTTTTGTTTTTCTTCACCGCGAGGCGTGTGGTAAATTAGCACTTTCATTGGTACCGGCGGAATTGGAACCAGAATTGCTCGCGTACTGTGAAAATTACAACGAGCGCTTAAAGGGTTCAATATTTCAAAGGGACGAGATCGCACTCTTAGATTATCAGTAACATCAAGGGATTGTTTGAACTGCATCAAGATTCGAACCTGCCCAGACACAAAATAGGTGGTTTAGACCTAGAGTTACGACAAAACCCCGTTGCAAATTGATGTTTAAAATAAAAAATAGCATTTATAATTAAATAGCAATGATTATGAATTTTTTCCATATATAATTTAAATGTATTTTAATAAATATTTTATTACTAATGATTCTTTTATTATTGAAAGTGGATTTAATACGCGTGACGCGAGATTAATCATAAATTCATAACCTTCAGTCTGTATCGATTTACTTTGTTTATCATTAAAACATTAAGATTCCTTACTTTATTCTTAACAGGTCTTTTTATCACTTACTTGTTCTATTACTGTCTCTTCTTCCTCGACCTCTTCTTTTACCTCAGGGTCTATTTCGAAGTCTGGGTCCAGTTCCACATCAGCGTCGGGATCTACGTCGTCTTCCGCTTCAGTATCACTTGCGAACCCGCTGTACTTCATCTCGCCCCGTTCTAATGCCTCTAGGCTGTCTGAAATGTTAGTACGCATTTTAAAATTAATCACATACTGGTTTTGGTTGGGAAGTATACACAAAACAATACGGTTTGGATAAACCATATTAAATTTTTAGTGATGTGCACAGTTCAAGAAGAAACGAAACTTTCGGTAAATTGGGATGGCATTGATGAAATCAAACAAGAAATGTAGCATGTGCCTATTTATAACGCGCTATTGCGTTTGTTCAATAGTTTTCTAATTAATATAATGATAGTGTGTAATCACGTAAACAAATTTATTTAATCCTGTTGCAATTGTAAGAAGGTTGTCAGAAAATTCTACTTCTTTCCACAAATTTCTATTTCAGATGTAAAATACCAGACCACGGACGTACGAGCAACATCCAAAGATGCGGAAATTCATGCTACTGCCTACTGCAATTCATTCGCCTGCCAAGCGTAAGGACTATGGCAAACTCTGCCTTTTTGTGCGGCCGCACTGTTCCCGGACCGCAAGAATATAATGTACGAATTAAAAGATATGTGTCACCTGTCCAATTGCGATCCGATTTTAATGTCATTATACTGTATTGCGGTCTGGCGCCGGTGCGGCTCCGGTGCCATTTACGAAGCCTTACGGCAAATTACCTACCAAACCCTATTTGCCTATTTGACAGGAGTGTATAATATTTTACTAATAGTAAAAAAATAACGTTGCAGTAAAAAGGACGTTCACAACATTGGTTTAATATTTTATTAAAAATCTAGCATTAAGTTTAGTTCGCGCTTTTCAATTTAAATAATATGAGGTTTGCAGTTGTGCGCGCTTTCTGGAAAAACTACTGGATAGATTTCAATTAGGTTTTCCAAGTTTTATTTCTAAGACACTGGACCCTTATCAAAAAAAAATTGCCTTATCTTCATTTAAGTATGTAAACAACGCGGACGAAATCGCGGGTGTCAGCTAATTTTAAATTAAGCAAAAAAAATTTCGAGAACATGACGTGAAAATCGTTAATGCGCATTGGGGCAGTGCGGCATACTATTTTCCTATTACAAAAACCCTCTCAATAAGGAAAGGTGACCTGACTCTATTAAAATTACGGATATCGGATAAGTAATAGCTTTTATTGACTGTTTCGTTGGTGTAGTGGTTGCAGGCTCGACTGCTGATCATGTTCGCTGGTTCAAAATTCGGTCGGACCAAAATGAGTTTCTAAGTTTTTCTGTCAAAAAGTTCGTACGTAAAAGCGTGCTACGGCTGATCTCTCTCTGTTCGGGCCGGATGCCGTCCAATCGAAATATGAAATTTAGTAACATAGACTGCACCTGTGCTTGCACACATACCAGTGCACTATAATCGTCTACTGCGCAGCCATCTGGCAAGTCTTCCGTCCATCTGGCAGATCGTCGTAACCGAAACCATCTTGGGGACATTTTTATTTTTCTTTGATTTTTAAATAAACGTTACCCCCACACTAGGATTTTCTCCTGTATCGTGAAGGCAGTTTACAAACATAAATTGCACAAGGACAAACATCCAGACCCGGAACAATTATTTGCAGGCCATACAAAATAATTGTTCCGTGCGGGATTCGAACCCGCGGCACCCAGCGCAGCAACTCATTGCTAAGCCACTGCGCTACAGAGCCGTCAAATTGAAAATATTCAAAACAACAAAACAAAAACATTGTGATACTAGTCACAGTTGCCACGTTTGGATATTATTAACTTTATAAATAACCATAAGTATATTAAAAAACATCACGCCTTACCTGGATAAACCATAGCGTTTTTGATAGCCTGAGGATCCTTCCGTGACCATTTCAGAACTTCTTCATCCATTTTTCCAACCTTCGAGGGATTCATAGCCCACAAACAACCTGCAAATACGTCATTTTTACGCTATTTATAGATTACGACAAATTTAACAAGCAGAAATATGGATACATTACGTACCTTTCCTTTGACTTCCATTTGTGGAAGGCTTTTCAATTTTTTCGAAACATTTATTTAAACTAAGATTGTGTCGTACCGAATTCTTCCACCCACTCGGAGCGGTTTTGAAGTATGGGAAATGTTGACTGAAATATTAATAGAACTGGTAAATAAATATTTCTCATATTTACAGTTATCGACTTCAACAAGATACTAATAGCGATTAACGTACCACATAAAATTATAGATCTCAGAAACGGGCAAACTTCCTGTTCGTGAGTTTTTTAGAGCCATCGCTATTAAACACGAATAAGAGTAAGCGGGTTTCGGAAATTCTCCCACGGTGGTTTTAGTAATATTATTTAGAAACTTCGCTTGGCTATTGTCGATCTTAAAAGAACCGTTTACGGCCGTTTTTATTATTTGTCTATTGTTGCCTAATGATGAATTGTCTATCAGAATCGTCGCCTGATTTTTATTACCATTTGCTAAAATTGTTCTAGATTGTTGCGCATCTAATATGTGTATATTCCCGGAAATTATCGTTTTGGTCCCCATTTGCTGTGCCATCTTTTGGCTAGTATTCAATATCGAGCAGTTTTTATTATTTAATTTGATTATTTCAGGTTTAATACGAACTGCTGGCGTTGCGTGCGACGCTGTTGATTTAGACTTATTCGTATCGACATCTAAATCTTTTATCAAATCCTTTACTACATTTTTGTCTTGTTTCCGCACGTATATCAACATTTGAGTCGCTTCTTCTAATGATTTTTTGCTTTTCAGCTCTTCTGATTCTTGTACTTTGGTTACTTTTATTGCGTTCGGAGAAAAGGTAAGATGACTTTTTTCTTCTTTAGGGCTCGCTAGTGATGCGGTCGTGTTTGTGTCGTTACTCGCCGCCGCTGAAGTCAGTAAGAGATTTGAAGCTTCTTCTTTTACTATATTTTTGACAGGCGTTTCCGCGAAAGTAGATGGCATTACAGAATTTGGATTAACCATTACGGCATTTGCCTCAGAACCGTATAAGTCTAAATTGTGAACGAAACTAGATGAGTTATTGAGCCAAGTCACGGAGTTATCAGTGTCTATATCTAATAAAGGTGGGAGTTCTGAGAAATTTAGTCCTAGCGAATCCTGCAAAAATATTTTATTAAGTCTGACGTAATATAAAAATTACAAGTATTTTTTATCCTTAGTTCTACTTACTGGAAAATCTGTGATACTACTTAGATCTGTTGCTATTTCATTTTTAATATCCATATCCAACATATCCTGGAGTGAATCAGTTATGTACAGATCCATGTCTAAGCACGCCTGAAATAAAAAGTATTAAAACCTTTTAATTTTTTTGGGCTATTTTAATGAAATATAAATAAATTAACATTTCGGTTCACCTTTCTTGTATTTATAAAATTGTAAATCAGAGACCGGATTTCAGGAATATGAACATAATATTTAGGGGCCATCACAACAATGTCCGATTTTTTTTACTTTGAAGATGGCGTTGAACAAAGAAGTGTTTGGTACTTTTAAATTACTCTTGTTTTGTTTGATGATTTATGATTCCTTCAAAGGTCATTCCAAGAATGCATATCATTTTCGCGCCAAACGAAAATCATCAAATTCATTTACTACACAAAGAGAACGGGGCGGCGACGGCGCAGCGCAGCCGCTGTTTAGTATAGAAACCTGTTTTTGTTTGGTATGCGCTACCCTAGTTGAGAAAGAGTTATAAATATTATTGCCGTCTTACTTACACATACTGAATGACCTAAATAGTATTTTGATAATAATATAAAGAGTACAACGTGCTCCGTTTACGATATAGATAGATACTTATTATAAGCTGTATCTGAAAACTTAGCCTTCTTTATGGGATCATATTTAGTTCAGATATTATGTAGAAGTTATACATTTCTTTTTAATTTTTATGTTGATACTTGATACATTTTTATTCGGAAGACCTATACCAACGTATAATTTGTTACAGTTGAGGGGTCGCTCCTACCTAGAATCTTATATAAAAAACGCCAACAGCGGACGTACGGAGGCTTCCAAGATTCGGGACGACGTTTTTTGTCGGTGCTTTTACAGTATTTCTATTAATAGGCGTTCTCGAGTGTTGCATGCTCTCCATTAAGCTTACGAGTTTTACTTTCATCTTTTCGATAGTAAATGGAGCAGATTCATTATATTTTGCTAAGATGAAGAATAAAGAAATCTTTAGTTGTCATACTTATATATACATATTATATTTTAAGTTTTGAAACTTACTGTAATCACATGAGTAAGAAATGTATAAATTAAATTGAATTTTAAGAGGATATCTGGGCTGCAAGAAATTTGTAGAATAGTTTTTTATCGATCTATGGCTGTCGCGCTGTGTCCGAACGACCGATACAGAAAAGGGCGAGAGACTTTCGGATTTATTAGACCTATGAAAATCATCACCCGTATTTCCCTGTTTCCTCCTCCAAAACTGGAACCATTTAAAAAGAATTTAAGAACCGTATAATAAGAATTGTGACTGTCTGTTAGTTTTTTTTATGTTCGCTATATTCGTTTGTTGGTCTAATAACGGCAGTATAACTGGGTAGTTTTAGTTATTTTGGAAGTTTATGGTACCAATTTTTAAAATAATTAATTAATGAAAAAGAAAGAAGAACATTTCAGTGATAGATATATATTGGATCGTATAAAATATAAAATAAAGTTGTATAGACTCCCTCACCGAATAAATGTAGGAGGATACGCTTCAAATTTATAACGTCGTGATGTAAGGTGTGTGTGAATAACATATTAGATACTATTATATTTTTCTGCATAGGGGATTTCAATTTTAATTCATACTTTGAGTAGATTTTATTTTGTAAGATTAAAAAAATACATCGTCTATTTTTTTTATTTGTCTTTATTAGACATTATTGCTTTAACTCAATAAAAGTAACACCTACGTACCAGATCAGTATGTACATATGCAAAGCAACACAATTTGAAGGTATGCGTTAATAGTGCAATGACTTCAGGCAATGACAGATAAAACGTGAAAACCTGAACATGCTATCTTTGACCAATCGTAACTTTTCTGGTGATTATTTTATCTATATCGCGTAATCGTTATCATCATATTAAATTATCGCCGAATAAGATTTGTAAACAAAATGTTGGACAATATTTAGAAGGAATATTCTGCAATGTTTGTAATTCAAAATAAAGTCTACTATTATCAACAACAAACCCTCTTCTAGACAAGTGGCGAGGAGATTGAACAAGGGACTACACAAAAACTGTATGGCTTATAAAAAAATCCTCCAATCCATGGGGGAAGATCATGTCCAGCAGTGAACATTTGATACTTTGATAGGATGCGATGGGCGGGGAAGCTTTCTTAGATTTCCTCATATCATTTATATATATACTAGCTGACAAGGCAGACGTTGATCTGCCCTTTCCGAAGACCATGTCCTAAAAAAAATCGATAAATTCACAATAAAAAAAAATAGAGGGTCACTTATCGGGATAAAAGCTATCCTATCTCTCAAGTTGGACCAAACTGCACACATTGTGAAACATTTCATTGAAATCAGTTCAGTAGTTTAGAGAGTTCATCGCGGACAAACAATGTGACACGTAATTTTTATATATAAAGATATATATATTTATACATATAAATGATGAGGAAACAAAAAAAATATATCCATAAAGAATTTAAAATATTTTATAGCCTAAAAAGGTATAAAATAAAATAAAAACATTCACGTAGGGCACATAACAAAAAATATTCATCGTTAAAACCAACAATGAAAGGAAAAGGTTCACGAAAGAGACGTTCAATTGTAGGGGTGGTAGAACGAGACAGCAACAGAAGATCGAAAACGGGTGAATCGACCCCTAATGATATTGCAGCCGGCTTTGCGTCCATAAAGCGGGGTAGGCAGGCCTTTGCAACGTAAGAGAAAATTGATACGAGATGCGAACCTTGACAATCTCTTGATTACAACTTATAACTTTCTTTTCTAACAACTATAACTTTCACTCTCTATTCTTTAAATAGATCTACAAAGTTTTGATATTTTAGACGTTATCGAAATGGTTATTCCAGAGGCTTGAGACTATAAATCCTTAGTAAAATTTTTACCCACGGAATGACAGGGTTGATGGATTCTTTTATGCCACTATCCTACTTAAATATTACTTAAATCCCGTTAATTATTTTTGGCTGAACTACGCTTATTTATTTAATGTTGCGCCGATAGCGGCATGGATTTGCATAAGCCATTTTTTTCCTTGAATGTTGTAACTTAAGTCCTTTCAATTGCTTTTAAAGCGTGTGCAAAAATCTTTCTAAATCCAGCTGTATATTTGAGCAGTGTTTCGTAGACATTTTAAAGTTAGATTGTATACAAATAAAAGATACTTTGGTTTAAATGAATCAGAAGTTCAAGTCCCCAAAATTTCAATGAAAAAATTTAAGTGTAATTTTTTCTACTATTTACAATTTTTGTGCACTGAAAGATAAAATTACTTATGCTCAGTAGATATCACGAGAAAAGAGTTGCGTAGAGGCAATTACTGCAGTGGGATGCTAATGAAAATACGACAAGTATTGACAGATACTTTATTTATTGGCAAATAACAAATTTGTCTCTATTTCAGCGAAGAGTTTAACGACTATTTTATTTATACATTTATTATTTATTCAAACCGACATTGTATTAGTGTTACGCGGGTCGAAAACATGCGTAGATCCGTCTCAAGAGCGAGCCATGCCGCAGAGGGCCATGAACTCTTTCTTTATTATTTAGAGTTCATTTTGCGCAATGCAATGCAAAGAAATATAAATTCTCGTCTGAATAGTTGTAGTATTTTTGTGTTTCTTTGAACAAAAGTAAAATATTATAAAAAATAGCATTCCGCTTTGATCATTTGTGATGAATTAATATTTATGAATAAATAAATATGTTTTATACTTTTTAATAACATGATTCATGACATGATAACGTAAAGAAGAAAAGAGGTCTAGAAAACACATTAATTTATAGTTATTTATATTTATAGGGTGTGATTTGAAGCATAAAATATGTAGTGGTCATATATCATAGTAAAATATCTGAAAGACAATCCTTTTTATTACCTCTGTAGTTCATTTTCAAAGTCGAAGCAAAGATCCGAGCATGTGGTTTAAGGGCTCATTCACACTTTCGACATTAGGGTGGATGCCCCTATTACCAGCCTTTTAGTGCTAATTTCAAATTTAAAAATTCCTGCTACTTTAATTAGGGCACAATATTTTTAAACATTTGTTTTAATCGATAGGTTATTTATCTAAAAAATATAATGAACATTTATTTACAATCATATCATTTCAAGAACAATTTTAAAAACGACGATAAGCCAAAAAAAGGCGTTATGGCTCAAATGCCAGCCTCCGTGTACCGAATCTCGTCCTTTTGTGTACTTAATGCCAGCATAGCAAAGGGTTGTGCCTTTATAGTTTTTGGTAAGTACCTATTGTAGGTAACTTTTAATTTTGAATCTGCATGTGACAAGCATGGGATATTATTAAGGCAGACGATAACATTATTTTATTTAAATGTTTTACTACTTAAATTACTGTGTTTTAGTTTAAATCAGTTCAATAAATTAAAGCAAATTATGATGAAATATTATGTAGTATATCGATTTCTAATAATTTAATCATCCAAGTTTTCAAATCATCATCGTCATTATAACCTTACACAAGTCCACTACGGAACATCCTCCTCCATAGACTGCCGCAAAGCCTGGTCCTAAACCACTTTACTTGTCATGAATTTTTCATTTATGTTCAAAGTTGTAATTAGTATTACTAAGTTATAGTTTTAGCTTATCTATACAAATAAATAAAATTGAAGTGTCTGTTTGTAATGTCAAAATAACAGCTTTTTGAAAATATATACGGTACCAATAACAAAAACACAATTTTTAAAATTTTTGTCTGTCTGTCTGTTTGTTCCGGCTAATCTCCAAAACGGCCAGACCGATTTCGACGGGACTTTCACTGAACGATAGCTGATGTTATAAGGAGTAACTTAGGCTACTTATATTTTAGAAAAAGAATTAAGGTTCCGCGCAACGAAAGAAGCGCGCAAGAAAAAGAATTAAATAAAACCCTAAAATACACGCGGGTGAAGTCGCGGGGAACAGCTAGTATATACTGTATTTATTGCTTGTTTTTTTCTTCTTTCTCAAAAAATAATTGAATACATAAGCTGTCCTTAATATACACCGAATATCAGTTAGAAAAGCTAGTATATATTTTGCTAAAATTTAAAATCTAAAACCAATTGTAAAACAGAGGAATTGATCATAACTTCCTTAACTATAAAATAAGTTATGATCTAATTAATGGTATTTATTCCAGTTTATGACAGCCCTGATTTGTATTACGTGGCTGAAATTAGGTACTTCTTATTAAGTAGGTACGTCAAACCAAATAACAAACAGCCGGGCGGCTTACATTATGCACTCCATATCCATACATTTCGTATACCTAAATACAGCCCCATTAATTTCCACTAAAATAAAATAAATATTTTGTAAATTTTAACAAAAATAACTGCGTTACTATGTCTATAGTCATATTCATAGAAATTATAAAGCCTATATGTGAGATAATGTAAAGTAAGCATAATTTTACCGGGATCATTACTTGTCAAGAAATTAGGAAAATGAGCGTTTTTCGTCGCGTATGTGTTTGGATTTTTAATTTAACACTGTTAGGTTTAAAACTGTGAGGTAATATTTGAAATATACTCTTCTCTAGTTACGAAGAATTTTTTAGGTGACAATATTTGTAGTTAAGACTAATAGAAATGTTATTTACGAAGTAAAAAGGCGAAAAGGCTGGAATTAGGGGCATGGCTGGTATTAGGGGCATCCACCCTAATTAGCTAAACAAAAGTTATGTATTAACTATATAAAAAAATCTATTTTAACAATTAATACGGTGCGATCATGTATATTTATTTCATCTTTCCCAGTGTCAGTTTGTAACCCCTAGTTGAAGGTGAGTTGAATTAAGGATAAATAAAAATAAATATAGAACGTTATCATGTTTTAGTAATCGATTAATATATTAAATAATAATGTTATTTAATATTAAATAAAAATTATTTGTCACGTTGCGTTGTGGAGCTGAAGAAATCCGATACCCAATTAGTACTCACAATTATAAGGGAAAGATGATTTTACCTACTCCATCGCTATAATATAAGCTAAGCAGATTTCGATAATAATATAAGGTAATGGAGTCGACAGTGTAAAGGATATTAATAGAATTATTTCGGAATATTTAGTGTGAAGAAGCCCTCATCTAGTCGTGGTGTTGGTAGTAGATATAGGCGGGACTGAAGGGGAGCGTGGAGTGAAGGGGTACTAGCGCCGCCCGCGCCATCATGCTGTGTCCTCGAACCTGACCGCGTGCGATCGCCTTGAACTCGACGAGCTCGGCTCTTGAACAAATTACCTTATGTATCTTACGCCGGTGGTCGACGCAACAGCGTGAAAAATCGCCGCCTCGGAAAACTTTAAATATGAAACAAGAGAAACAGAAAGATGATGTTTCTCAAAATTAAGTGATGATAAATGTTTTTTTTAAACCATAGGCAGTTTTAGCAACATTAAGCCTTGATGTTATTTAAAAGCGAAATTGTTCTTTAAAATATATGAGGTACATACGTAGCACCTATTTCAATAATCAGTAAAGTATACTGGCTTCTGTCTAGTATACTAAGTACTGACATACTCCTAGAGCTGAAGGCTAAAATTTGCATGTATAAATATATTTGAATACGACAATATTAGATATTAAAAGAAATTATCTGTAACCGGAATAAAAGGCATTCATAGCACTAATTTAAATGTATTTGGCGCGAAAAGTACTTTAGTTTTCTGTATGCGCGCGCATCAACGCGAAATAGGAAGGAGGGGTTCCGTATTGATTGAATGTGTGGCGCAGTCACTCCCCTCGTAGCCGTCTGCTTTCCTGTTTACTACGGAGGGAGGGAAATAGAAATATTTTACGTAAACTTTCATCCTTGTATCTTATTTTCCGCATTTATACGGGTAGAAAAATTTCAAATATACTATTGAAGTAGGACCTGATTACTTAAATTTTATTTTATATTCACTACAATTGCAAGTAATACTGCATGAAATAATGACATTTTTTTAAGGAATAAATTGTCTATAATTTCAAGTGACGATAATAAATAGCCAACAGTGAGATGGAATCTGATTATACGCGAGGTCAATGTCCTCATCGTAGTTAAAGTACTGACTCAACCTTGCATGAGTAGATAATAATTTATACAAATATTATTTAATAGACATAACGTGACGACCTCGCAGACAGGTAAAAAAAACATTGTAGGTACCTACCTACCTACTGGTATTTTTAGACGATGGACATAGACGTAATTAAATTATTTTAATTTCGATATTATAAGTAGGTCTCTGGATATTCGTATCGATATATTTGTAATGATACATTCCTAAATACAATATATTTTAAATATATTGTATTTAGGAATGTATTTGTATTTGAAATGATGTTAGTTGCAATTCAATTTGTATGTGCAACTAACATCATTTCAAATCAATGAACAGCATATTATCTCATAATTGCTGGGATCCTTATCGATATTTAATAACGAAGCATTTACATTATTAGAAAATTAAGTATTTACATTTTTTAAATAAATTCACATTACCGAGGATTATTTAAAAATGTAGATAATAGTTTATATATAAATAATAACACTGTATCGACTATCGCCTATTTTTATTCATAAAGAAATTTAAATTATTTATTAAAAGAAAAAAGAATAAACACATCACACCCGCAGGGGAGAGTAACGGCTGGCCGACGGAATAAGCGGCAGGTGTGTGTGACTACGCATTTGTTGCTATAGAAACTACTACATTCATAGAAACTCACACACCTTTACAGGTTGCAGTCACCCGGCCCTCCCTAGTTGCACTTTCCACAGATTAAAAAGAACAGTGTCGTCATTTACTATAAAACTTATTGTAGTGTTAAAGTAACTTGAAAGATAGTACTACCATAATCACTAGTTAATAAATAGATAGTACAAGCTAATAAGTGACTTTATACTCAAACAATTATTCCTTACTAGGAAGTTATATAATAATAAAAGTTCCTAGATACTTAGGCACATATAATGTTTTTATTTATAACACTGTAGTTTATCTGTTTTCATACAGGTCAAAAACAACTTGATCGACTTTTAGCCAACTACAAAAAAGGGGTAATTCTCTAATAGATTGTATTTTTTTTTCGTATGTATAGTTAGGTTACACGATAACTGCACTAATTGAGAACCGATTTTAGTGATTCTTTTTAATTATATAACTCAAGGATGGTACTATGTAAATTTGAGAATATCAAATTCCAGCCCTGGAAGAGGAAAAAATTGTAGGAATTAAATTATTAGTTTAACTGTTTACACGATGCCTACTCCACTTAAAGGGGTCAAAAATTTAAAACAAACTTCGATGAAAAAGAAAAAAGTTTTCTTCATAATAATATGTAGGAAATTAAATAGCTTCTGATGTAGGGGCTATAAGCCTTTAATGCACTATGATTTAGCATCCACTTTAGAAGTTATTAAATTAAGTGGACATTATTTTTAATTTTTGGACATTAGGTTTAAAATTTTATTTATTTTTTAATTTTATCTTGACATGTAAGTTTTTTGTTATCTATAGAATAACATGTAAAAAAGCAAATTATTACTGGAAATGTTTTTGATCTCATTGAAATTTAGCTTCTCTTACTTTAATTTAGATGACACTGCACTTTGACTTGAATAATAAAAATATAGAATGACCCATAGAATTTTAAATACATAATTTTTACAACCTAATCATCAACAGAATCAAAGTGAGTACCTACACTGCTGAACATAGGTCTCCCCATATATTATTGCCTTAACTTATATATACTAATATGTGAGCACTTCAAATTAAATTATTGTGATCAAAAGTATGTACAATATACTTTACACTATGTTGTCTTCCTATTTTCACTCACACGTGTGCAACGACTATAGCAATACACACAGCCACAGGGTGCACTCATTGTTAAACGTTTTGAAATTCTTCTTTAGAATCGGCCGTGGGAACATTGCAAAGAAATCATCAAATAATATTAATACTACTTTACCGAACTTGTTTTAGGCAGGGTTGTTTAATAATTGTGAATATTCAAAATATTATTAGAGTTAAATAACTTTTATTTAAAATTCTTTCTGTGAAGTTACATACAAGCCCGTATCAATAACAAACAGAAATACCTATATATAACTACCTATCATGGAACTCCAACCTACTACTTACATGCTCACAACCGTTTGTAAGTTCATTGACGGGGAATTGGCGCCGTTTTTAACAATTATGTATGTGTGAATTAATAAGAGATTTATATTTTTATAAAAGTTATGTGAAGAAAGAGAACAAGTCAAAACTATGAATATTACAACTAAGCTTTAGGAGTGGCCAAAATAAACACAATTCGAAAATAATAATAATTCTCTTATCGTCCCTTTCTATATCAACGTCAGTACGCCGAAGTAAACGAGACGGAAGATGAAACAATTTATCCGTTATATTTCTACCTCGTGTTCTCGTATTATTAATTAGTTGCAATATTGGGAATTCAAATGAATTATTTTGTAGCTAGTAAAAGATAAATCTGCTTAAATTGTTTATTTATACTAGCATCTTATTTTGAAGCTTGATTGTGTAGACGGATACCTATGATACCTACATATGGAGCTGGAAATAATTTCCCGCCACTTGAAATATAACGTAAATAACAAGTGTCGTTTAAATTTGAGATGATGAATTTGTTTTATACGATATGACTACAATGTTTATAATTCCTTTCCCATATCATTTAATTGATGAATGACATTAAAAAGAGCGGGACATAACTCCATTGGACTTTCCCATTACCCGTACACTTGTTTTCAAGCAAAAAATACAATTTTAGAACTAAAATGTTACTTACCGAATATTTATTCACATAAATATCCTTATGCTCAATAGAATAATCCAAAATTTCACACATTTACGTTTTTACCGTCATGAAATTAACAAAATTTAACACCACTCACTCCATAGACTACGATCTGTTTTACTATTATGTATTATGTGAAAAGGTATACAAAATACAAAGAATGGCGTCTTTCTCTATTGGTGAGTTACGACCACGTGACCAAGCTAATATCACAGTTATTGGTTGAAAGCAATATCTGAATTGACGTCACTAGTCAAGTGACATTCTCATTATATTTTTATAAGTAAATTTTAAATCCTGTTTTGATATAACTATTGCACTTTTTATTATATGCATTTTATTTTATAAAATGAGTGTTCTAGACTTTTTAATAATACTTACATCATAACTTACCAATTACCGTGAGTCGACTATTCTCGACAATATGGCGGTTTGTTTACACCGGCATGATAAGGCGGGAAGTACTTCCGAAGAGTATGAGCACCTACTTTCGAATAGTAACTTAAAAATAATTGTCAAATCGCAAAAAATAGTTTTATTCAATGAAGTAACAGAATTATCCAATCTTAATTAAATTATAGAAGAAAACAAGACACATGGGCGATACCAATTTTTTAATGCTCACCAGCGCCATCTCGTATCCATTAACATGATTTAATCTACGGCGGGAAAAATAAAACTAGACTTAAATTTTTGAGACTTACAAAATTAAAACAAATGAAAGTTAAGAAAATAAAACAGAATACATAATTTAAGTTTAAAAAAAGAAAAATAACAATAAAGGGGTTTTTTGAATGTCATAAAATATAAAAATTGTTTGAAAATTATATTATACATATTTGTCAACTTATATTCCGTACATGTTTTGAATGTAAGATACCTCCTATTTGCTCAAAGGGTATACTGATATTACTCAAATTCATAAAGACAGACACATATCGTTATAATATAGTCATAATAACATTGGATTCAGTCTTAGTTATTTATAAACAGGCAACAACATTATCTTTTGAACAACGAATTAATTACATTTTATTAACAAGTTAAAATTTAGATATCTTAATGTTTCTGTTTCTCTTGTATAATTCATAAGTTCCTAATCTTTTAATTTTTTTGCTGTATAAGTAATCATTCTTAAAACTGGTAATATTATTTGATTGGGCAACAAATTTTATTTCTTGAGGTACAATATTGACTTTAAAATTGGTTGTATAGCCACTGTTTGAAGTCGTAGCAGTAGGAATAAATGGCAGCACTTTGGGTTTTTTTAGAATGCCCCTTTGTTGTTTCGCCTCTGGAGAATCATTCTCATTTATGTATATACTTTCTTCTAAGTAATTTGATGGTTTATTTTTTCTTTTCTTTGTTTCTTCTACTACGAATTCCGTTGTGGAGATAGCTTTGTGCTTCTTTGCGGCTAAATTTTCTTTATTAGGTTTGTCTTCCAACTGATTAAGAAGAGAATGTGGTAATCGAGGTATATGAATCTGATCAAATGAATTTTCCTTAAGCACCTATAAACAGAATAAGGTTTAAATTATAGGCTATAAATTTAGTGACAGATTTTAATGAAAAAAAAAAAGAAAAACATGCGAGAGTGTCGTGGAACACTCGGTTGGAACGAAGTTCATTTCGTAGTATATTATTATTGATATATTATTGATTGACAAATACAAATATATGAATTACTAACGTCTATTAAAATGAAGCGTCGTTTAAAATAAAATAATATTTCTTTCATGGCAAGATAAGAAAAAGTGCAAGGGAAATGGATATTATTCCATCTCGTTTCCTTATAGCCGCCAAGGCCATCTACACTACGTCAGAAGGGGTCGTGACGGAAAATTCTTACACTTTTCGCCTAGCTCCCATCCGCCAAATTAGTACCGTCCGATAAAGAACTTCGTTCCAAAAATATTTTCATTCCTCGTCAGATTAGCAGAGTGTAAAATAAAAATATAAGAATAAATAGTAATAATGTTGACTGCTGTTGCTAAATAAAACATTACCCACATATAAGTTACATTTTATATTGTAGTTTTATATTATAAAACATTAATAAACTTATTTCTTTTTGAAGTCTATATAACATGTTGTGTCTATTTATAACTGTTTCAAATAGTTATGCACTTGAAACCTTGTGAGACCTACTTAATTATAATGTGGTATGCATAATATGGAGCCGGAGAACATCATAATTAATAAGATAGCAATAATTATTTTTACTAATTTGCAATCATAAAAAATAAAGTACAAAATTATTAATGATTGTTTAGCAAATGTCATACATTCTCTAATACTTTACTTTATATTATACTTTTTAATATTTTTGGCAAATACTGTTCGTTACTTATTCCATGGGATAATACAAGATAAATAAAAATAAATAAATTTAAAGACTAAAATATTCATTAGAGATAATATAGTATTTATGTAACACAGGTAATAGGCAAAAGCTTGTTTACAAAATATTATAATTAAGTACAATATATTAAACTAATTCCTTAAAAAAATCTTTAATATATTAGTATTTATATATTAACCAATTTAAAACATGGAGATTTTAATAGACACCAACCCAAATTTCGATATTAGATAGTTATTTTGATAATAGCAGAAAAAAAAGTTAGTTTCACGAAGATACGCGTGATGGCAAATTCAAACATCACATCAAACATATTATAAAATGCTTCTCTTTAAAACGCAACACTATAGTAGCTACTATAATTATTATTACCTTCAATGCCTTGTTTGCATCGTCGTCATCGTCTCTGTGTTTCCGTTTTTTGTTTTTATCTATTTTGAGTTTAGAAATAACTGAAAAATAAACAAATGAACATTGTTATGATTTTGTTAACAAAAGGAAAATAATAAAGAAACATTTTAACTGGGTGGCAGTATTCTCTTTTATTTATTGAAAATTTCATATAAATATGTGGTATATAGGCGGATTTAATGCCTGAACAATGCTCTATCTTGAAGGGATGCAAAGATAGAATGAAGTAGATGTAAGAAAAATAAAATAAAAAGTATAAATTTTGTAATACATAGATCATGTACATTTACAGGCTGTGAGGAATTCCATCTTAGTCCGCAGAGCTGTAACCTTCTTTGTTTGAAGTTGTCTCCCGGTGTCCATGGACTGCATTAGTAACTTACCATCAGATGTACTGGAAGTTTACTAGAAAGCAGTTTACTAGGTGGTAGGGCTCCTTTTATCTTTGAATTAGTAAGAAAATTCATACCTGTTTCTAAGACATCTTGATTTTTACTTTGTCCACGATGAAGAGTATTTTGTTTGCATGATTCAGTGTTTACATTTTGTTCAGTTCCAGGATCTATTAAAAAAAAAGGCAATATATTAAATATTACTTAAGGAAATATTTCGAGCACAATTTCAAAAAATTACAACTTATTTATATTATATACAAATTTATTATAAGATGACTCTGCACACACTGGTCAAAAACCTTAAATATTATATGTATCATGTCACCATATTTTTTTTAACAATTTTATGCAATTATAAATGAATAAATTTCGTTTGATTCAATACGTAATGGAAGCGATTATAGTTAAGTTATACTAAAACTAGCTGGCCAGGCAAACGTTGTTCTGTCCTTTTCGACAACCCTTCATATAAAACATCCTTAAATTCGTAATAAAAAAATATTGAGTGTCACTTATCAGGATAAAAACTATCCTATCTCTCAAGTTGGACCAAACTGCACAAAGTGTGCAAAATTTCATTGAAATCAGTTCAGTAGTTTAGGAGTTCATCACGGACAAACAATGTGACACGTAATTTTTATATATAAAGATAGGGAATTACTTAACCGATTCGTTGCGGCACCAATTTTCGACAACTTTTAGCTGTGGCGGCGAACAAATATTTCATGGCACGCCGGGCGTGTTAAGCGCCACAGACAAAAATGACACGCCTATTGTGCCATCCGCCATGTGTAAAAGTAATGTTCTTTTTATGCTTTTTTTTTACTTGTTTAGTCCTAATTAAGTTTATTGGACATCAAACATAAGTTACAAATGGAAGGATACTTGTTTTTAGTGGGTAAATACGTGTTTTTTTTACGCGTTTTCTTTGAAATCGAGAGAAAGTGACTTTTTTTATGAAGAGATTACAAACTTTTTGTACTATTTTTTGTTGTTATAAAAATCATTTATATAAGTAGGTACAGCTAAATCACCCTGGAAACCTTGGTTTTTATTAAATTAAATTTTCACCTAATAATAACATTTGTAAATATCAAACAATGAAAAACCTTAATTTGAAAAAAAAAGGTATATCATTCATTGATATTTACAAATGTTAAATATTACTTAATGTTATACAAATGTAAAAGTAAAGTCGATCTGAAAACGTCTAATTAGTAAGAATAGCAAAACAAGTGTTTTCAAAAGGAAAAAAACGCCGGCGCTATACGGCGGCGGATTGACAAAAGACTATTTATTAGCGAACTTTTTTTATGCATGAACGGTTTCGAACTGTTTCAAGTAAAAATAAACCTTATACCATATCACAAGAGCACATGATACTTCGTAGGTCTATTCGGCCATATGATATTAATAAGACGGCAGTTCAACCATTTTAAGCATTATTAGACAATTTGATTTAAAACCCACAAAGTAAAAATAGTACCATGTACACGTTACAAACATGATTTAAAACCCACAAAGTAAAAATAGTACCATGTACACGTCAAAAAAAGGTTGTCAACCCCTAAAAATTTAAAATTTTCAAAATATCTAGAAACGTAGCTGCATGCATGAACTACTCGCAAAATAATGAATATTTTGTTCTGGATAAATTTTCCAAAAAATCAATTTGAGCGAGTTATAACGATTTTAAAAAAAAGACACGACTCGCGTGTCATACGCCACACACAAAAGTAATCGACGGCACGCCTGGCGTGTCACCCGCACTGAACCGGGTAAATTGTAAGCGCTACTAAACTCATGCTAAAATGAAAGTGTAATAAATTATACCTTTCAATTGGGTTTCAGTATGGCAGTTTTTGAGTTTTTTCTTTGATTTCTTTGATACCCGCGACGTATTCAGAATTTTTGATGAATCAACTATCTCATGAACATTACTTTCATCTACATCTTGTTTGGCATTCTTATTAATTGTAATGGATGTATTTTGGGCCATTGCACTTATATTGGGTTTCTCAGTATCTGAAATTTTCCATAATTAGTTATTTACCTGCAAATATTTTTACTACCTATTAATGGAGCGGATGTATTTTTTTTTGTTTCATATACTTTTTTGTTATATAGCCATATTTTTTGTTTTGATCGTAGTACAGGGTGTCTAGGACTTTTGCCACTACTTCTGGCTCATTTTTAGTTAAAAGATATTGAAATCTCTGTAAAACAACTTTAGAAATCTTATAGTACTAAGTGTAAATTGACGGGGAAGGATATTATTTTCACTCCAGGGTGTACTACTTCATACAAGTATAGCTTCTTTCTTACACTGTCAAAATAGAATCTGGTCGCCTTGAACACTGTGGAAAGACAACCTAAAATGCTAATGTGTTAGGCTTCCGCCTTTGTAGTAAAACACCAAAGCTTTGACCACCAGTATAAAATTACTTGCTAATCAATTATGTTGCATTTCAAAGAGTGCGTTACATAGGTTGCACTAAAAGTATCGGGAATGGAATATTTCCACTGTTCCTGTCATATTAAAACCTTTTTAATTGAAAAGTCCTTCGTTTTTTTAAAATTGAATACCATTTATTTATTTAAAAAAAGATTCTCGGTCTTGTCACAAGGTTTTGTCAAACTTGTTTAGTCGTTGAGAAAATGGAATTGATTCGAGAAAATTCAAGAGCGATGATTTATTATGACTTTCGAAGTGGTTTAACACAAAAACAGTGTGTAGACCAGATGATTTCTGCATTTGGTGATGAAGCCCCATCTAAAACCACAATTTATCGCCGGTTTGCTGAATTTCAACGTGGACGTGTCAAGCTCAGTGATGATCCCTGTAAAGGTCGTCCAAAAACTGCAGTCACCCAAGAAAACGTTGATGCTGTGCGTAAGCTGATTGAGGAAGATCGACATGTGACATACCGCGAAATTCAGGCAACTTTAGACATTGGCATGAGTAAAATACAAATAATCTTGCATGAACAATTAGATGTAAAAAAGTTGTTTTCCCGATGGATACCGCATTCGCTCTGTAAAGAGCAAAAAGCGGCTCGCGTTTCTTGGTGCGTCAGAACTCTCGAAAGATTCCACGCAGGATCCTCAAATGCTGTATACAACATCGTATCAGGTGATGAATCCTGGATATATGCGTACGAACCCGAAACAAAAAACCAGTCACGAGTTTGGGTGTTCGAAAATGAGTTAAAGCCAACAAAAATTGTTGGTTCACGGAGTGTTGCAAAAAAAATTGTGGCCACGTTTGTCTCCAAAACCGGCCATGTTACGACTATTCCTCTTGAGCGACAAAGAACGGTTAATGCAGTATGGTATGCTAGCATTTGTTTGCCACAGGTCGTTTTTGAACTCCGTAAAGAGAACTGCAAGCGCCGCATCATCCTCCATCACGACAATGCGAGTTCTCACACCGCACACAGAACAAAAGTTTTTAGAGCAAGAAAACAAAGAATTATTAGACCATCCGCAGTACAGCCCCGACCTAAGCCCTGATGATTTCTATACTTTCCCTAAAATAAAGAATAAATTGCGTGGACAGAGATTTTCATCACCTGAAAAAGCTGTGGACGCCTACAAAACGGCCATTTTGGAGACCCCAACTACCGAATGGAATGGTTGCTTCAATGATTGGTTCCATCGTATGGAAAAATGTGTCAAATTTCGCGGAGAATACTTCGAAAAGCAATAAATACATTTTTAAATAGTAATGTTGTGTCACTTCCTTGATTCCCGAAATTTTCAGTGCCACCCTCGTATGTACGGAGTTGGTTATTACAGCAAAGAAATAGAACTCCTTATCGACTTTCTAGATTGATATAATGTTGCTTCCTTCTCAGCAATGGGCTAATACGCTTATTGTTTTCGAATACAACACTAGGAATGTTTGTGGTCAACTTTCTTTCAAGTCTAATTTTTATGAATAAAAAAAATACCTTGATTTTGTTTATTCGTATCTTCCGTGCTTTGCGATATTTTTCGCTTTTTATTTTGGCTGAGGACAGATTTGTTGGTAATTTTGGAATTGTCATCGCATGTTTCATCTGTAATGAAGTTTAAATATTGTTAAGTTTTTACGTAATCCTCATAGTAACAATTTTAAGTTCACATAACTAAATAACCTGTTTCTTGGAAATGAACAATGCAGAAAAAAATAATTGTTATTGTAGCAGATGAATGTATGTGACGGCGTAGTAGTCGTAGCGTATTTATGTGAAGATATTTTAAACAGCAACTTGTTGCAAACGGCACATACAGAGTTACGAAGTAGTTTTATCCTTATCTTATGTATCTCATATATCAGCTTATCCTATGGACGAGTCTTTTTTATAAAGATCATTCAATCTATTATTTTGTTTTATCGTAATTCTGTTTATATAGAAATCATTAACTAAATATTTTTATTTTACAAACCTTTTAAAGCTAGTTCTAGTGTAGTTTTGAGGGATGATTTCCTTTTGCGTTTTTTTGAGCATGCATCACTAGCATTATTGTTACTTTTAGTATCCCCTGTAATGTGAAACAATAAAATATAATTTGCAAGGTGGTAAACTATTTCTACAGTTAAGCAGCAGTACATCCAATGTTATAATCTGGTTTGAATTGTATGCAGAGCCAGTATAATTGCAGCAGTAAGGCATTCCATCTTAGTCCTTAGTTGACATTACTTCTGTGTTTCTATATATTTATGTGATGTTTATTACTAGTCTCCACCAACCACTAATCAACAAATGAATTATTAGATCATTTGTCCATTTTAATGACATTCAATATCATGAATATGAAATATATTTTTTAAAATAAAATGTCAACAGCTTAATGCACACCAGGTGAGCACAGGTATTTTCATATTCCTAAAAATTATGGATTAAAAAAAAGAGTATATTATACTGCTTCAATGGCATGGGAGTTCATCTGTTTTTGAAAGTTTAGTAACAGAACAGTAAAAGAGGGCGCTCATCAACAACGAGAATGAGAGAGAGAGAGAGAGAGAGAGAGAGAGAGAACTTATTTGTTCTTTCCATACTTCAAAATGACAGAATGAGAAAGGTCTATGCCCAGTAATGGACTTAAAGAGGTTAAAACAAGAGGGTTTAAAGAAATATAGAGCGGTTGTTTTATTTATAGATGGCAAACAAGACAAAAACGGAAAAATATCTCCCTTAGTCGATTTCTATACATTTTCTGGGAATCTATTAACATTATTTAAGACTATCAAATAAAAATATGTTGCGTTTTGTAAGTATACCTTCATTTGTCAGCATTATTTCCGTTGGTTCATTTGTCACAAAAGTATTTTTCTCAGATTCGCCCTCTGTAAATAATAATTATGATAATTAAGCAATTGACCCTTTTAAAATTAAGACAATGAATGTTATTTTAAAATTATCAATTAAATTAATGTTCTGATACCTGATTGTGAATCTATTTTATCTTTCCTAAATAAAACTTTCTTTGTATTATTAGCTTCTGAGAAATTTTCATCACATTTCTTAAGTGATTCAGATAGACTTCTCTTTTTCTTCTTTTCACTTTTTGGAGTTTTAGTTACTGATTTATTAATTACCTCTTTAGTGTTTGCTTCAACTGATGCGGAAACATCTTCACAATCAGAAACATAAGACTCTGATAGCTTTTTGATTTTCTTTATTTCACTGCTAGGTGTTTTATTAATTGACCTATCATTTGAACTTGAGTTTTCTTTAACCAATGAGAAAATAGATTCCAAATTCGAAACATTAAATGATCCCGACATTTTATTTTTCTTACCGACCGTCTCAGGAGTTTTAGTCAAAGATTTATCAATCGTTTTTTCAAGTTGTGATAAGTTGTGAGACAGTGACATCTTTCTTACTTTTTTATTTTCACTCTGAGGTGTGTTTGCTTTAGACTTTTTGGCTGCATTGTCTGTAACAATTTTTGATTTTCAACTTGACATTTAAATTTTTTTAGTGTGTAATATCTTAGCAACTATACACTATATATAATAACAGTGCGTTCATCATTTGTTGGAGGAAATGAGATTCTTTTAGACGATTAAATTTAATATATAATATTTAATCCAACTAAAAACATAAATGTGAAATGGGGGCTGATTATGGTACAAACGACAGTCAGGGTTGTCGACTTCGTCGCTAGAAGATTAGATATCTGAATGGGCGCTAAGTTCCATAGCAGTTCCTTAAATCATAGCATAGCATATACATACATTCGTCAATTGATTTAAAATAACATTTGTTATATTCTTTAATTGAATAACTTAGGAAGATTTATTACCAATTAAATCGTAGTGTAAAATGACTAAAAATCAATTTTAAGCTAATTTAAAACAATTATATAATTAAATGTAACTTAATTATTTCCCAGTGTGTGAGCAACCCAGGTTCGACCCACATCGGGAAGAATAAAATTGTTCATAATAATTTTAAGTGCTGATTACCCACATGCTCGACGGAGAAGGAAAACACTGTAAGTAAATCTGCTTGTCTGAAAACCTACAAAAATATTTTGAAGACAAATTGGTGCAACGCGACGGACATTTGCTTTGCCCTAAGAGCGTCTTTGAAATGAGAAAAGATCTGTATACTTTAATTTTAATATGCCTAATGATCTAGCTTGATATGAAATTCACAGCAGAAGAGGCCTAGGTTTTTGATGAGTGTGTGAGTAAGTCAGTCAGTGAGTAATAAAAATGATACTGAGAGACCTTCAAGTTCAAGAATTATTAATAATATTCATGAAATTTGGGATTATGAATATTCTAAAGGACTTTGTTAGTGTATTTATAACAAAGCCCTTTAGAATACTACTAATACCCTTTTAAATAACAAGTATAATGTCTAATAAGTTTTAGAATTAAGAGGAGATTCAATGTAGTTTTAATTGGTTTGTGACATAGTGTCGTATCTTTGCATTTTATACATGGTAGAGCCAATCAGTGTATAATAACTGTAGCGCCAGAAGGGAACGGCTCGACTATGAAATGAAATGGAATATATTTATTTCTTGCACAAGAAACTAAAATTTCGTTTTATAAATGTTTTTATTTTTCAACTATTTTACCGTTTTGAAATATAGTTCTCCCGACTGGAGCAAAAACGGCGAAAGAAACTATTAATATTACTACTAAACATTATACTACAATTACATTACGTTGGTAACACATTTTAATAATAAACTATAAAATATAAATTATATTATAATAAGCTATAAAAGGACATATATTATAATAAGCTATAAATATAGAAATATATATTATAATAAACTATAAAAGGACTTTAACATTTTTGTCGCTTTCTCTCTTTTTTTAAACATTAATTTACAATATAATATTTGGAAATATGAAAATATTTAGAAACAGCGTGGTAGCGATCATCTTATGGGTTATTGTCAATTATGTAAATGCGATAAAATCTGTAAAAACTAGTTTTATTTAAATGTGTAGTGTTCGCGTAAATATAAGAAATCATTATATTATGTTCTTTTTAGCAGTATAATAAGTAATAACTCTTATTAAATAATTTTCATCTTTTCTGGTACTTTAAAGAAAGGAATTATTGACACTTTGGAGTTGAGTAAAAAGGCAAAAACCAACAATGAGATGACCTTAGATCATTTTAAATAATATTATTACCTGGTTCACCAATAATATTGTCTTCTTGTTTACTAAGATTGTATTCCCTGATGACACTCTTTTCTTTCATATATGACATTTCAAGAGGTGCAGCATCGTCTTCAGAATCGTCGGCACTTGAAGCATCTGAAATATAAAAAATATTAAAAGTAAATGATTTTTATATTTTTCATATACTTATATGGAATGCCTATAAAGGAACTGTATAACGAGTGGTCAACCATAATTCATAAATTTTTTGGGTTTGTATACTAAAATAATTATTGTGTTATTGAAAGTGAAATATAACTTGTATTTCACTTACAACAGCACAATAATAGATATCTACTATACAAAATAAAAGTTGATTTTGCCGTGAACTTTTCTTTCTTTCTTTTTAACTACCTCTACAGACTATTGTAAAAAAAAAAAACGTTTAAAACACAAAATTTACAACTCATTCAGTCAATACGTCGGTAATTATTTGTTACCGATAAATAATTACTGACGTATTGACTGAACGAGCTGTAGACATTTTAAAATTCTTTGGCGACAATCTGTACTCTGTGCGACTGTTTGACCACAGACGATTATGGATTTGACACTATCCTTTTAAGAGTAACAACACACATATTATGCTATACTTATTCTAAGATCGTAGCAAGTGGAAAGAACTGGTCTCTGCCTACCCCTACGGGAAAGAGGCGTGATTATATGTATGTATGTATGTATGTTATTCTAAGACATTGGCAGTATGATCGTAAATAATGTATGTTTTATTTCATTTAATGTATATGTATAATACTTATGACTACTAGTCAGGTCATAAGTATTATCACACAGTAAAAACTTTTCTTTTAGAATGCTGGCCACAAAAAAGTTTATTGAATTCGAATTTCGAATTGTTCATGAAAATAAAACTGTATAGTTTTTAGAATTTTACTCATTTTTAAAGATGGAGTGGACGCTTAAAGAAGACCGTGTTGCAGTTATTGCGTTGCATCGTTGTGGTTACGCGCCAATTCAAATTTTTGACATACTGAAAAATTGAAATTTTTTTTTATAGGATAAGGGTGACAAACGAGCACACAGTCCAACTGATGGTAAGTGGTTGCTGCGGCCCATAGACATCTACATCTATCCTCTGTTACAAATCAAAATGTAGATGCGTTGTCACCCGTGAGGACTAAGATGGAATGCCTCATTTCCAGTAAAAAGGGCCTCCGGCCACCTGCACTCACCAAGCGAAACGCAGAGGTAAACCTCTACTTCACGCTGGTTTTCTGTGAGGTCGTGGTACTACCCCGGTTCGAGCCGGCCCATCCGTGCGACAGCAAAAGTTGCCGCGTGGCTCTACCACTGTTATCTACATCTACACTACTATTATAAAGAGGAAAGATTTGTTTGTTTGTTTGAATTGAATAGGCTCCGAAACTACTAGACCGATTTGAAAAATTCTTTCACCATTAGAATCCTACATTATCCCTGATGAACATAGGCTATGTAATATTTTCAAAAAAGTTAGGGATCTGTATGAAAACTTCGTTAATGTAACCCAAGGTGTGAAAAAATACCAAAAACAATCCTTATATCGCGTACGCTTCGGAAACTATTGATAATAGAGCAAAGTAATGTACTTCACTTTTATAGAGGATATTAATCTCTACAGAAAAGTCTGCGATACCATATGTTTAACTATTACAGTTATGTCACAATAACTACTTTTTCATGTTAAAATGTGAAATAGTAACGCCGGTACAAATACTACTAATACGAGTACGTACTGATACGAATAATGTGACCTAGACATTATTCGTATCAGTACCTGTATCATGCATCTACACTCTTCTATATCTACACTACTATTATAAAGAGGAAAGATTTGTTTGTTTGTTTGAATTGAATAGGCTCCGAAACTACTGGACCGATTTGAAAAATTCTTTAACCATTAGAATCCTACATTATCCCTGATGAACATAGGCTATGTAATATTTTCAAAAAAGTTAGGGATCCGTATGAAAACTTCGTTAATGTAACCCAAGGTGTGAAAAAAAATACCAAAAAGAATCCTTATATCGCGTATGCTTCGGAAACTATTGATAATAGAGCAAAGTAATGTACTTCACTTTTATAGAGGATATTAATCTCTACAAAAAAGTCTGCGATACCATATGTTTAACTATTACAGTTATGTCACAATAACTACTTTTTCATGTTAAAATGTGAAATAGTAACGCCGGTACAAATACTACTAATACGAGTACGTACTGATATGAATAATGTGGCCTAGACATTATTCGTATCAGTACCTGTATCATGCATAACCACCAATTACGTTAACCATGTAATTTTAGTAACATATTTCACTTTTTAAATCTTTGTTAATTCAGCAACCGTCCGTCGTGATGTCTCTCTCGAAGTTCGCATGTCTCAAGGCGCAGATGCGTGATATACGCGGGTGAAACCGCGGGGCACAGCTAGTAAATAATATAACCAAAAGATTCGTTTATCGTACCATCAAACGATACAACGAAGACTCTAGTGTAGATGACAGGTCAAGAAGTGGTCGCCCTCGGTCTGTTAGGACTCCAGCAGTGATAAAAGCTGTAAAGGCGCGAATTCAAAGAAATCCTAAACGTAAGCAGAAACTGTTGGCCCTTCAGATGGGGTTAAGCAGAACCACGGTGAAAAGGGTGTTAAGTGAAAACTTAGGGCTTCGGGCATATCGAAGAAAAACAGGACATCGTTTGAATGCTCGTCTAATGGACCTGAGACTGAAGAGATGCCGCGCTTTGTTGAAGCGGAACGCGGGAAAAAAATATCGGGAAATTCTTTTTTCGGATGAAAAAATTTTTACCGTAGAAGAGAGCTACAACAAACAAAATGATAAGGTGTACGCACACAGTAGTGAAGAAGCGAGCAACCGTATTCCGCGTGTCCAATGAGGTCATTTTCCATCCTCGCTCATGGTATGGTTGGGAGTTTCTTATTGGGGCTTAATAGAGGTACATTTTTGTGAGAAAGGTGTAAAAACGAATGCAGTTGTGTAACAAAATACAGTCCTGACGAACCTTGTGGAACCTGTTTCTCATACCATGTTCAATAACAGGCATTGGGTATTCCAACAAGATTCGGCGCCAGCTCATAGAGCGAAGAGCACACAAGACTGGCTGGTGGCGCGTGAAATCGACTTCATCCGGCACGAAGACTGGCCCTCCTCCAGTCCAGATTTGAATCCGTTAGATTACAAGATATGGCAACACTTGGAGGAAAAGGCGTGCTCAAAGCCTCATCCCAACACTTGGAGTCACTCAAGACATCCTTGATTAAGACAGCCGTCGATATTGACATGGACCTCGTTCGTGCTGCGATAGACGACTGACCGCGCAGATTGAAGGCCTGTATTCAAAATCACAGAGGTCATTTTGAATAAACTTTAGTGTCATAAGAATCTATGTTTTGTTAAGTTCATTTTGGTATATAAATGGTTACATAATGAATAAACTTCTTTCAATTATTTTATATTAAACATGTGACAGAATTTATGACCTGACTCATCATCATCATCATTACAGCCCTTCACAAGTCCACTGCTGAACATAGGCCTCCCCCAAAGAATACCACAAAGCACGGTCCTGAGCCACCTGCATCCATCGACTTCCTGCATGTCTTACCAGGTCGTCACTCCATCTCGTGGGGGGACGCCCTACACTTCGCCTACCGGTACGAGGCTGCCACTCGAGAACCTTTCTTCCCCATCGGTTGTCGGTTCTTCGAGCTATATGGCCGGCCCACTGCCACTTCAGCTTACTAATCCGTTGGGCTATGTCGGTTACTCTGGTTCTACTGCGGATATCCTCATTCCTAAGTTTATCACGCAGAGAAACTCCGAGCATAGCCCTCTCCATAGCTCGCTGAGCGACCTTAAGCTTCCTCATACGGCCAGCAGTGAAGGACCACGTCTCAGTTCCATAAGTCATCACTGGCAACACGCACTGGTTGTATAATTTCGTTTTCAGGTTTTGAGGTATGTCTGACGAGAAAATGTGTCGTAGCTTCCCGAACGCTGCCCAGCCGAGTTGAATCCGTCGATTGACCTCTCGGTCGAAGTTGGACTTACCTAGTCGGACTATTTGTCCCAGGTAAACATAATCGTCAACAACTTCGAGCTTAGTGCTCCCAACAACTACCGGCATAGGTGTGACATGGACATTGAACATGATCTTTGTTTTGTCCATGTTCATCTTAAGACCTATCCGTTGGGAAACACTATCGAGGTCATTGAGCATAGTGCTTAGGTCCTCCAGCGATTCTGCCATAAGGACTATATCGTCGGCAAATCGAAGGTGAGTGATGTACTCGCCATTGATGTTGATACCGTATCCTTTCCAGTCCAGAAGCTTGAAAACGTCTTCCAATGCAGCGGTGAAGAGTTTTGGGGATATGACGTCACCCTGTCTTACACCTCTCTGCAATTGGATAGGTTTCGTACTCTGGTTCTGTACTCGGATAGCCATCGTAGCCCTACTGTACAAGCACTTCAACACTTCGATATACCGACAGCCAACTTGGCACCGCTGAAGGGACTGCAGCACCGCCCAAATTTCGACGGAATCAAAGGCTTTCTCATAGTCCACATACGCCAGACATAGTGGCAAATTGTACTCTTCGGACTTCTGTACAATTTGCCGAAGGGTATGTATGTGGTCTATGGTGCTAAAGCCCTTTCGGAAACCGGCTTGTTCGGGAGGCTGGAAGTCGTCAAGTCTGCGCGCGAGACGATTCGTAATGACTCTCGAAAACAGCACGTAGACGCGGCTCAGAAGGGAAATCGGTCTGTAGTTCTTCAAGAGAGCGTTGTCACCTTTCTTGAAGAACAAGACCACCGCACTTCTGCTCCACGCCTCCGGTGTAATACCACCATGGAGGACGGAATTAAAGAGCTTCTGAAGGACTTCAAGTACCGGTCTTCCACCCGCTTTCAGAAGCTCCGCTGTAATTCCATCCTCGCCTGGGGCCTTACCGTTTTTAAGGTGCTGGAGAGCCATTCTAATCTCGCTCAGACTGACGTCCGGGATATCTTCGGAATAGTGTCGGATGAGACTCGCTCTTGGATCGTTACTCACACTTGCGTGTGGCTCCAACGATGACGTGTACAACTGCCCATAGAACCTCTCAATCTCACTCAAAATCTCAGGTGCCCCGGAAACGATGCTGCCACACTCTGTCTTCAGCTTTGACAGGTGGCTCTTTCTGGCAGACAGATCTCTGGCAAAGACTTTGGAGCCTTGGTTCCGCTCGATCGCTTCTTCAATACGAGCTGTATTGAAGTTGCGTAAGTCCCGCCGCATGCATTTGGAGATCTGTCTGTTCAGATGCCTGTATGCTGTCAAGTCTGTTGAAGAATGTAGCTTCATCTCCCGTCTAACAGCCATGAGATTAAGAGTGTGATCGGAGAGTTTTTGTGTTCTTCTGCGGCGGGTCTTGCAGAACTTAGCTCCGACCGCATGGACAGTTTCCACGAGCTTGTCATTCATATCGTCCACTTCATTGCAGTCTTCTAGGCACTGAAAACGGTTTTGTAACTCGAGCTGAAAGGTTTCGGGACTTTGGAACAGAGCACGAGGGGGACGGAGCGTTGACTTCATTAGACGAGACCTCTCCAACTTAACGTTTAGGTTCAGTGTGCCTCTAACCATTCGGTGATCGCTACCAGTTTTCACCCTCGCGATCACGGAGACATCACTGAACAGTTGTCGTCTGGTCGTCATAATGAAGTCAATCTCATTTTTTGTCGAACCGTCGGGGCTCGACCAGGTCCACTTCCTGTGGGGCCGCTTCTGGAAGAAAGAGTTCATCATAAAGAGTCCCTCTTTCTCCATGAAGTCGGCCAGCTGTTGGCCCCTTGGGTTCCGTTGCCCTATTCCGAATTTCCCTACTTTCAGCTCACCGTTCTCTCTTGTGCCTAGTTTTGCATTGAAGTCTCCCATTAACACCGTATATTGGGTTTTGGAGGAATGCATGGCTCTAGAGATATCCTCATACATTTCCTCCACCTCCCCATCGGGGTGTGCCGAGGTTGGTGCGTAAACCTGTATGACCTTCAGCGAATACCGTTTGGTGATTCTGAGTATAAGGTACGCAACCCTCGTCGACACACTCCCGATCTTTACAACGTTGTTAACGAGAGACTTGTGGACGATAAATCCGACACCTCCTTGGGACAGATGGTCGCCCTCCCGGTGATAGAGCAAGTTGCCGGATTCGAGGATTACCGTGTCCTCCCCCTCTCTTCGGACTTCGGATAATCCTATAATATGCCAGCGCAACTTGTCTATCTCTTCTTCCAGCTCCACGATCTTCTCGTCAGTCCTCAGGGTGCGTGCGTTGTACGTTGCCAGGTCGAGTCGTCTAAGGTGGCAACCGAACCTCCACCGGAGATTCTTAGCACCCTCTGCCCCGCCGTTACCATGGTCGCCACCGTAGCCAGGAATAGCGGGGCCGCCGGGGACTGGGGGCCGTCTCTTTGTTACATTCATAGGGGGGTATTTGCCATAGTTGCCACGCTTGGCGAGCGGGTTGGCAACCGCAGTTTTTTTATTATAATTTTGACTATTATCAGGAAGATGCTGCTGCCCATCTCCTGCCTGTTTCCCTTTGTCGCCTTTTACGACACCCACGGGAGGATATGGGGTAGTGGTATTCTTGACCGCCACTACACGGTAAGGCCTGATGCCTGACTAGGTACATACATATGTAAAAACTTTAGCTCTATGCACTTGTGCTAAATCTCAAACTTCTATGTGCGCTCTGTACAATATGCTTAAAAGAAGAATGTGAATATGATATGAATTTAAAAATTATTCTTCAACTCCTAATAATTATGGCTTGGGATTTTAAAGGCTTCCCAGTTAACCCATATGATCGACTCCGGGTTATATCTAGCAATAGATACAAAAGGTTGTTGAAAAAGAAAAGCAGCATTGAACTGTCACAACTTGCTTAATATATTAAATATATTTTTAGTTTTTAATAATCATCCATTAGTAGTTAATAAACAACAACTATTTGTTACAAGATGATTTTGTAAGAATATGATGTGATATTCTGTTTGGCTGTTTCTACATATTATGTATGTATATGTACGTGTATGTATGTAATATGATCTCTTTGTCAATTCTAAATTGTTTTTATTGATTTTTTTACTTCAGGGGTGGTCTCATACAAATTTGGAAAAAACTTGATGAAGTTTTTAATGTTACTATTTAGACATTTTAGTTGTTACCTTGAGCTTGAGCTTGTGTGCTTGTATATCTTGGTCTATTGAAGAGGGTAAAAACTTTCACATAACAGTTTCAGAAGTCAGTACTAAGGTTATAGTGTATAGAAGAAAAGCCACAACTTTAAAAGCGGATTTTACGCGGTAGAGTCATGCTTCAGCTATATTATGGTTTTAGCACCAATCGGTTGGCTTAACTGGAGAAAGAACGCACTCTCACATATTATCATCATGACATAATAGTTTAATGCTGCTGTGTTTCATATGGTGAGTGTAGAGAACCAGAGAACTTTTTTACTGCATAATGAGGCATTCCATCTTAGTCTTTAGGGGTGACAACACATCTGCATTTAGATTTTTAATCGAGGATAGATAAGGTGTCTATGGGTCACAACATCCACTTATCATCTGTGTGCTCATTTGTCACTTTTATTTTATAAAAAAGAAAACTATGTTTTTTAGTTCTTTCAAGTGGAATTTTTAATTTTAAAATTTAGAATACCAAATAATTAAATAATAATTCAAAGTATACATTCAACATAAGAAATTTAGTATAATAAAAAAGCTCTCTCAGTAATGAGAGGAGGCCTGTGCCAGCAGTGGGATGTATATAGGCTGTAACTTAACATTAAGTTTTACTTACTATTTGCTTGAGAAGTACTGTTGATCTTTATATTTGCTTTTTTATCTTCATTAGCAGATGAATCGGAATGAGTTCCAAAGGTATCCACAAAAAATGGTGTCTCTTCTCTCTTTTCATTGTTACACTCTTCTGAAATTTACAAAAAAAGATATGTGAAAAATGTTTCCTAACAGATACATTTTTGGTAAGTTTCAAATGAAGAAATTCTTTAATTACTTAAAAAACCTAATATGTATGTTTGACCATAGCAATATCTCAACTATCGAGAAACTTTTCTACCGACTTCAAAAAGGAGGATGTACTCAATTCAATTAATTTTTTTTATATATGTGTTGTTACCATTGAGTTATATGTACTACGTACTAGAGAAGCCATTCCGAACATTGACTATGTTCAACTGAACTGTACTGCAATCCGTACAAACTAAATATTGCGTAAATTGAAGATTTGTGAATTCCATAAAATAATAATTATTACATTTTATTTAGAAATATGTTTGTTTAGATTAAATTATGATATTTTATATTAAATTCTTATATTTATTTTATATTATTATCTTATTTTATATCAAATTAAAGTAATCGCGCATGCGCGGGAGTAGTAGTCGCAGACATAGAGTAGTACACAATTTTTGTTTGGAATGACTTCTCTAGTACGTAGTACATATAACTCACTGGTTGGTTGTTACTTTATAACTTTTTTCTAGGTGAATCGATTTTGATGATTCTTTTTTTATTTAAAAGCTGGTACTTCTCATGTGGCCCTATATAAATATGATCAACGTCTGACCAGTTGTCTTTGAGTTATCCTTAATAATTTATATTGAAGTCAGTTGTATAATTTTTTTAATTTTACCACTTCTTTCTAAATATGATTAAAATGGTAACAAAACAACCAAGTGACAGTAATTAATTACAAAAAACCTTGTTAGTATTCTTATCTAACAGTGTTGTGATTGTCAGTTACTACATCCAAGCATATCTCCTGTTATCAATATTCCCATCCCCATCTAGGTTATCTAAGATCTAAGTCCAATCAATGATGGTAAATGGCTACTGCAGACTATGGAAACCTGTAGCCAACTTCAAACAAAAAAGCTACAGATGCATTGTCACTAATAAGATGGGGCTAAGATGGAACGCTTCACAGTCTAATTATATACTCTTCAGACTAGTACGTACACACAAGTACAAGTACTGCTAATTGACGGCAGATTAAAATCATATAATATATTTTGAATAGTTGATAATTTTCTACACTATAATTTAATATATTTGCTGTGATGAAAATTTGTAGTCAGTAAAACATTATCATAAGAAGTGATATTTCTTATACATATAGGCACATTCATTTTAAATATATTAAATGTCTATTGTATATATTAAGTGTGTATGTGTATATTAAGTGATGACATTTTGTTATGGTAGAACTGCCTCATAATGCAATAAATAATTAAAAAAATTAAGGCCCAATGTGAGAAGCTATAAAAGAAAACTTCATAATAGTTCATTCTGTTTATACATAAATGTCTTCCTTTTTTGTAGCAACTGTTTGGCGAGTTATACAAAAGCTTTCAAATATCAGTGTCAAGGATTACACTTAGATTAAATTTTTATTTTCTCTAGTAATTTTTAACCTTACAGCAGATAATCATTGACGAAACTATTTAGCTATTTTTGTTAAAAACGAAGCACTTCAGAAAAAAGGTGGTCTACAATACATAGACACTACTACAGAAAGTATGTATTACAAATACGGTAACACTAAATGTGTAACATTATTTGTTTAGTCAAAGTACAGGACGAACAGTTTCTCTTCCGTTTTATATCATATGACACATTATTATATTATCTAAGCTTAATAGGCAATCTATACTTGTATGTTGATAGGTTGTACTGAACAATGGTATATTAATGGTTTATAATTAATATTTCTTTATACTTTAGCAATAAGTAGTTTTCTATTTTAGATAAAGTTGGTCGGTTTCCACTGCAACCAAAAACCTATGATGTATTTTGTCATAGACAGCTGATACCATCATTGATTTGTAAGAATGTTCTAATTAATATATGGACATTTTTCATTTTAAGCTAGATTAGATTTGTATTTTTTATATATATAGAAATAACATGATTATTTGATTATAATACTTTGATATTATTACACTTTATTTTCATACAATTACTATGCGAATATTTTTTATATTTCCCAAAAAGTATTACAAATGAATCACATTTTTATTACAATATGTTGATACAACTTTTTCTACTATTGTTTATTCTGTGATACAACTGACACAATTCTTCTTCTTAGATACAACTGTGGGTAGTGCTGTAATATGAAAGAGTAATTTATATGTTTGAAAGTTGTAAGTGTAAGAAGTTAAATAGTTATAATTTAAAATTGAAAATTTTGTACAACCAACTTCAATATAAATTATTAAGAACAACTCAAAAGGTATTGGTCAGACCTTGACCAAATTTATATGGCACCACGTGAGAAGCACCAGCTTTCAAATAAAAAAAATCATGGAAACCCAGAAAAAAGTTATGTATACACACAAAAAAACAGTTGATTTGAGTACCTCCTCCTTTTCGAAGTTGGTAGAAAAGGCTATGCCCAGATGGAGGTTTAGGACAATAATTTAAAATTAAAAATTTTGTACAACTGACTTCAATATAAATTATTAAGAATAACTCAAAAACTATTGGCCAGACGTTGATCAAATTTATATGGGACCACATGTGAAGCACCAGCTTACAACAAAAAAAGAATTGTGTTGTATGTATGTATGTATATACATATGTGCAGTTAAAAGATAATATTATGTAATTTTCCAAATTCTAAAATAATAATTTATAATATAAATTTAGATTAACATATTTAACTGACCTTCATTTTCTGGGAGAGCTTTCGGTTTTTTATTTTTTAGGACATTTTCATCCAGCAATGATTTGTTATTTGGTTTAATATCTGTATCTGAAAAGTAATAACTTGTGTGTTTCAAATGTTACAATAATTTAGAAAAAAATACTATTATATGATTTTCAGCACTTAGTATCAATATAATTTATAAAGATTGTTTTAAATTTACCTCCTATGTCATATCCTCCTATATAGTCCTCCTGGTTTATAGCTCGGATATCAGTTTTCCCTTGAGTTTTTTTTAGCGGAATGAAATCTTCCAAGCTTTCTCCAGTTTTTCTTCTATTTTCTTTATTTAAGTCTCCACTATTAGTGCTATCTTCAGAGAAGAGCAACTTCAAATCAATTGAATCAGAAGAATCATCAGAATTAGAATTTTCTATTGCCTTTGATCTATCAGACATGTCCTTCTTTCTGCCACCTCTTGTTAGTTTCTCATTTATTTGTGTAATATTAAGTTGATCCACAATTGACTGTTCATTTGCTTTTTTAGTTTGTTTTAATTTCTCAGATGGTTTTGGTTTTTGGCAGAGATCAAGGTTATCAGTACTTTTGCCTTTTACCATTTTAGTGCTCAGTTTATTAGTATTCGGGGTATCACCACTTTGAGATGATTTGGTTTTTGACTTTTTAGACTGTGTTAAATTAAGATTTTCAACAATAGGAATTTTCGGATTTGATTTCATTTTAGGGTTTTTATCCATATTTAATGAATGATTACTTGTTTGTATCTTTAATTCATTGAGCATATTTTCGTAATTCTGAGCGATATTTTCTTCAGTACTACTTAAGTTGGAGCTGTTGTCGTCAGAATCTTCTAAAGGATCTTTGGATTTAAGTGATCTGGAATGGGAGGTATTTTTCTCACAAGGCGTGTCTTTTATTAAGTCAGTGTTAATAAATCCAAAAGAGTTGTTAGACTCTTTTACTGGAGTATTTGGTTTAGACTTAATTTGTGCTCCCAATGGATCACTTATATTATTTGTTATTTCTTCACAAATCGTTATCTCTTTTTCCTCTAACACATTTTCGTTGCACAAAGATTCTGATAAACCTCTTTTTTTGTTTTCCCTTCGACAAATAGAACCGTCTGTATCAGATTTAATTGCATAATCATTCGCTGAAGAATTTAATCTATATCTTTCATTTTTTTTCGGTCCTACAATATCGTCTTCAGATTGTGAAGATTCTAATCTCTGACGGGTATTCTTTTTTACTTTAGAACTTTTTTTACTACTGCTTGAAAGGTTTAACTTGTGGCGTGCTTCAAACATTTCTCTTGACGCTTGTTTTTGCTCTTTTAATTTTCGCTCGTTATACTTTTTCTTTGATTTGTTAGTCATTTTGAGTTCTTTGTCGCTCATAGATAAATCGTCACCAGACCCACTGAGCAATTCATTGTCTTCTTCATCAGAACTAACTATAAACGAATCTTTCTCATAATCGGAATCATTAGTCAGTTCATCTTCAGATGTTAATGTTTCTCCTTTTTCTAAAATTTCATTATCTATTTGGTATTGCCTCTCCTCATCATCTTGGCTATCTCCAGATTCATAGTCATCACTTGCCTCCTCAGCTTCGTTATCCAATAAAACATGGTTTTCATTGGATGTAGATTCTCTTTCTGAATTAGAATCTTCTGTGGAAGGTTGCCCAGATACGTTTTTCTTACTTGTTTTAACATTTTCTTTTGAAATGTTACTATCAAATATATTTTTTGATTTATTGTTACCTTGATCACTTGTACCAGTCCTCTGTTGAAGAGGAGTGCTTGTTAAATAGTTAAGGGATTGATTTTTGTTCACCTTTGTGTCTTCTTGTGTGGTGTCTAAAATATTGCTTGATTTTGACAAGCATTTATTATTTGAAATTTGGGGCGACTTTAAAGTATTGTTGCCAGTGCTAGATATATCTTTTAATTGCGAAAGTATAAGCGTACTTTTATTTTCCTTATCACTTTTTTCTAGATTTTGAGATGTTGAAAGATTAAAGGATTTTCTTTTAGTATTACTAGAATTTAAATTGTTTTTAAAATTTGAATCTTGTGAACTATTTAATACTAACTTTGACTGCATTTCTGATTCCTTATGTTGTAGGCTGTCTGGTAAAGTTTCATCTACATCCATTGGTTCACAGGTGTCATTTGCAATAACATCATTGGAATCTTTAGAATCTTCTTTTTTATTTTGAAAGGATTTAGATAAAGTGTAATCTGCTTTTTTATAACTTCTATCTTCTAATTGATCATCAACAACTGGAACACATTGATCTTCATTGTTTTCTTGGTGAATGTTCATGTGTATAGAATTAGAATCTGAATCTTCCATCACTATCATAGTCTGAATATTGCTGCTTGGATCTTTTTGAAATAAATTTGTTATTTGACCAATATTTTCTATGTCTTGGTTATTGGTTAAATTATTTTCTCCTTCATTGGAGTTTAATTTATTACTCATTCCATTATCACTTTCTTTCTTTTTCATACTTTTAGAAGACTTTACATTAATTTCTGAAGAATTTAGTTTATTAATATTGCTTTCAATGCATTTGTCTTTATTAAGTTTGCTATTATCACCTGAACCATTTAATATATTATTTTTTATAACATCATATATGCTGTCTTTATGCTTTTTCTTAACATTTTCATTATCACTATAAAAACCTTCATTGGGAACAGAAGCAGTAGTGATAGCAGTCCATGACTTAGTTCTGTGTCTTTTAGATTGCACCTTGTTCAATTTCTGAGCTTCTGATAAACTTTTGTTAATATGTGAGGATATCTTTTTAGGGTTTGTGTCTAAGTCTTGAATAAGGTTTGTACTGGAAAGAGAAAGCCTGTGTTTGTCAGAGATTTTTATTTCTGAATTACTGGCAATAGTATTGTCTGTATTTTCTGTTGATGACACAATAGGCCCTTCTGTATTATCATTATTGTGTTCAGAAGTATTATGATTATCACTCTTATTACCTTCAACACTACTACTATTTTTATCATCTGGTACAAAGGAATTGCTTGATTTAGATTTTTTATTTAATAGCCTAGGACTTTTGCGAACTGGACTTTGTTTTTTGTTTTCATTGTCTAGGTTTATTAATTCACTATTTGATGTTTTATTAACACTTTCAGGTTCTTCACAGATTATTTCAGGTATCTGAGTAGTATTCTTTATGATAGCAGAAGTTGCTTCCACTGCAATAAAGTTAAAATTAATGTTTACAGTAATAGTATATATATATAGTAATAGTAAAATTTTGTATATCTACAATATATTAAAGAGTTGTTGAATTAATTTTTATTGGAAATAGAGGTATAATAAAAGTTAAAGTACCTTGTTTTTCAACACTGGATGTTGAATCTTTCCTAGTTCTGCGTGTTTGCCGGACTGGGGTCAGGGAAATTTCATTGTCACTGCCTAAAAGAGCAAATCATACATTGATAACCCATAATTTATCTTAACAAAGCTATGCTCTGAATGCCATAAATGATAATGAATTTTAAGAACTAACCAACTTGGGAAGTTCTTCTTGTTGCCCTTTTAGCTCTAGGTGATTCAAAATGTTGAACTGTATCTGATACAATACTGGTATTGGATTTAATCCTTGTACTTCTTCTTGATGGTGTTATAGGCTTTTCTTCAACTGTATCTACAATATCTTTAACAATTGATTTTCTAGTTGAGTTTTTTAAATTGGTTTCTACTGCTAAAACAATTTGATTATTATAAAATACTTCTTACTACAGGAATTACATTAACATTTACAAATATATAACATACACCTAAACTAAATTGTAATAAAATAGAAAGATTTTTACCATTTTCATCTATTAAATCTAGTTCTGGTTTTGCCAACTTTCTACCACCTCTTTTCTTTGTGGGTGTAGCAGGTGCAGGGGATAACTTTCCATCGTCAAATTGTTCCACAGACATTCTTCTTCGAAGTCGTGTCACTGGAGCTAGTATTAATGTCTTTGTTAGGATAATTTCAGGATAGTAATTTAAGCCCTAATTTTAGATATGATTATGGGAATAAACAGCATTTTTCGCTTGATAACTTAAATATTTTACTCTATTGTTAAATAAATTTTGAATGTAAAGCACAATCTGGAAACCACTGGAGCCTCTAATGGATATATTGAAAAAAAAAAGCTACCTATTTTATTGTCAAATAACCTTAAACGTTTTTTAATAAATTTTTTGATAAAATAACTAAATTTTCAAACTTACACACTAATATTTTAAAATAAATACATATATTTGTCAAAAATATTAAATTATTCTTAAAAATTTGTAAAATTTTGTTTGAATAATTGTTTCAAACTAGTAGAAATAAATATATGAATATAACCAATAGATCTTTAGCATAAAATATATAAATTATGCATTTAATTGCGCAGTAATCAGAATAAACTAGTTATAACTTCGGTTTATATATATAAAATTAAGATAATAACTAACTGATATAACTAATGATTTATCCTGTGGCCAGGTAATGACCATTATTTGAAAAGATTTAGATAAACGTAATTTGAACTTTAAGAAAAACACTGAAGAAATAATCATGTTAGACGGCACGCTTGCACCACACGCCTTTTGTTACATTGTAAAATAATAAATACGTACCTTTGACCTCAACTTCTTCGTCCATCTTATACTTGATCCTAATAATTACCTTTTTGATATTTTAATAGTTGATACTAGTTACGCGAAACACGTGTAATAAACAGAAATAAACGTTACTTTGAGGTTGAGATAATGGTCGAACAGCTGTTGAGACGCCGCGAACTGTCAATTTGAATCTAAATCCGAAGCGTGCCAAGGAACTGGGAATCATGGCAAGACTAACATCCAAAGAGTATAGTATATAACCACTAACATCCGTTACAACCATAGACTTAGAATATACTCTTATGGTCGCCACACACGGTCAGTTAAACTGATTTAGTTTAACTGACGTACATTCAAAAACTGACCGTAAGTGTGAAATCTTAAATAAATAAATATCATTTTATTGCCATATTAAAAAAATATACATATTATAAACTAAGTAACTTAACTAAATTTAGGCAATCGGAGGTGACTCAGTTTATGCTTACATGGGACTAAGATCCAATGAATCGCTGGTTTTCAGGCACTCCTTCCTCCCTGAGATGTTACATGGGTGTCGTGAGAATTGCGAATTCCCCAATTACCTCTATACTTCACTCATCTAATATTAGAATTTTACAAATGGTTGTGAAATTTTATAATAATAATTCTTGCATTCTTGCGTGCGTGCGTGCGTGCGTATGCGCATGTGCATGTGTGTGTGTGTGTGCGTGTGTGTGTGTGTATGTTTTTTGAAAGTGTGCCGGGTGAAGGAAAAGGGCAGATCTCCCGCCGGGCAAGGTGTTCTGCCCGGGAAGCGGCTAACGCACCGAGTGGTAGTTCGGAGCTATTATATATATACTGTTTTAATTTCGGAACTTTGTTAGCGTGATTTAGGCTTCGATGTGGTTTTTCGCTTGTGGCGCGACGACAGCGCCGCCACAAAAGGGTAATATTACAATAAAATGTTAAAAAAAGTCTCTAAAGTTTATGTATTTTCAGTAGGCATGTTTCAAATTTTTTTGCAGCAATTTGTCGCTTCAGCAAAGCTGATTTATTGACTTTGAAGCTTGCCGTACTCATTTCATTTCTTAGACGAGGGGCAAATCGTTCCATATTCATACTGCAGTAAATTTAAAACATCCTCTGTAACGCATTGTTTTATGTTTTGGCATACTCAATAGGCTTAATTACATCGTACGAAGGCTTCGATGTGAGGTATCTTTGATCCACAGAAGTTTTTGAAATAGGTACTCAGGCTTTTTGCTCAATATGCACTGTACAAACGCACTGAAGCTACCTTCTAGAACTCATGTTAAGTAAGCCTTTTTATTCAGGTACGGAGTAATGGATTTTTTTTTGGGCACATTAAAGCAAAAATGCACACAAGCATTTTGCACTCTTTGTATTGCTTTCTCTGTATTGAAATTTAGTCTTGGACCAAAGGTAGAACTGCAGTAATTGAATTGAGATAGCAACAGAGTATCACATAAAAGTATCCGTAAATGCTCCTTAAGATAAGGTCTGATTTTGTAGAGCTTTTTCAGCTTGAAAATGCTGTCCTGATTTTATTATTCACGTGATCAATAAATTTTTGTTTTTCATCTAAAATTAAGTCGAGATTACGTGCCGAGGTAACTTGTTCCAGAACAACATTATTGATTTTTGCCATTTCTCCAGGGTCTAATACATTTTTTATTTGGCGTTTAGTGCCTAAGACCAACATTTGAGATTTAGTTGCGTTGAGAACTAAAGAATTATTTTGAGACCATGTGTGGATGCTGAGGTCGACATTAATTTTTTCGATAGCCTCTCGAGTATCTTTACTGTCAAATGAGTAGTACAGTTGTGTATCATCAGCATATAAGTAATATTTACAAAATTTTATATACCTAGGAAGATCTGCTGTAAAAATATTGTAAATAGGATTGGACTAAGTAGAGAGCCTTGGGGCACGCCGTGCGTAACTGACTTAAGGTCCGACAGTCTTTTTTCTCCGTACTTATCGTCTATTACCACCATTTGTTCTCTATTAGCGAGAAATTTGTGAAACCAACGACATGTATTCTTTGAGAATCGATAGAAGCTTAGCTTATGTAAAAGTAATTCCGGTTGCAAACAGTCAAATGCTCGAGAATAATCAAGTAATACCATTGCACTACTCATTCCCATATCCGAGGCCTCCTTCAGGTCGTCCGTGACATGTAAAAGTGCAGTTTCTGTACCATGACCCCTGTGAAAGCTTGATTCTAATTTAGATATTATATCTTTATTTTCTAAGAAAATCAGCACTTGATTTAACACTATTTTTTCTAAAACTTAAGTTATTACTGGCAAAATTGAAATAGGACGCAAGACTTTTAGTTCAGTAGAAGAATTGTTTTCAGGTATGGGCCTTACTAGTGCTCTCTTCCAACAGGATGGGAAAGTATTTGTTTCAACTGACTAATTAAGTATCATCGTAATGATAGAAAGTGTCACATCTAGAGTCAGCTTAATCATTTCTGTACTAATGCTATCGTGTCCCTCTGCCTTGGTCTTTATATTATTAATAATAACCTTAACTTCCCGTTCTGTAGTTCTATAGTAGGTTTTAGGACCAGCATGTCAAGTTCCGGTGTTTCAATTAGATTAGTGAAGATTTTAGCAACAACTGTTTCGTTAATGATTGGTAAATTTAAAAAGTGGTCGTTGATGTTATTGGGGTCATTAAGATGTTCAAGAATTATGGGTTTGTGTGTGTTATTAAATTGAGTAGTGTTTTTTAAGTTTCTCCACAGCAAAGCCAGTTTTTTTTATTTAGTTATTTATAAAATTATTATTAGAGCATGCAATGCTGTAATATTGCGGCATCGGAACTTGTAATATCGCAAAATTTGCAATATTGCGAAATTAAAAAATCCTTTAATGGCAATTTAACTAAAACAATAACATGAGTAAAAAAATCTTAGACGGGTGTTAAATTAAAACACTAACATGAGATAACTACAATTAACCACACATACAACCCTAATCTTAATTTTACCTTGGAAATGTTTATGTAAAAAGCAAAGCGTATCCACTGTCTCATCATTTAAAGAACTTCTAATGTTATTACATATGTATCCAGCAGCCGAAAATTCTCTCTCAGCTTCTACGCTCGCTGGTGAAATGCTTAGTAGTTTGTTACACAAAGTCTCAGATATTTACCCATTGTTACTCCGGTGTCATACCGGGTTCGTTTTTAATACTGCGAAATTCGCACCTGTATTCTCGCTTGGCGGTACTGAAACACAGCGCCAATTTCGCGAAATTGCGGTAACGATATAACGGTATTGCATGATCTAATTATTATAGTAGGCTTTTCGTTCTCTTTCGATGGTTGCGGTAACAACATTTCTGAAACTGCGATAATAATCTTTCGAGTTGTCCTTTTGGTCTTTGAGAACTACCTTACGAATTGATGCATGTATGTCAAATAATTTTATAATATACATGTTAAAAGTTTTAACTATTTCATTCACATTTGTAGAGTATAAATAGATTCCCATGGAATAAGTTTTAAGTGTTCTATAAACTTATCTTGATTTATATTTTATAATGATCGTTGAAGCCTAACTTCTTTATTTAACTTGTTTTTTTTTATATATCTAAATCTACAACTATTTATGCATGTATCAATATTTTATATTATATATCACATCAATATTTTTGCATTTTAAAGGGCTGTCAGACATAACGAGGTCTATTATGGTTTGGGAATGGTCTGTGATTCTATTCGGTTCTTTTACAAGTTGCTCAAGACTGTGGTGATGACAGAAATGCATAATTTCTGTCACTTTTGAAAATCCAACACAAGCCATATCAATATTGAAATCGCCCAGGATACATGCGATATCACATCGTGCCATAGAGTTCATTGTCTCACTAAGTGTGCCTAGAGTTTCTTGAACACTAATATACTCTGGTCTGTATGCTGTACCGAGTGCCATTGTGGTTCATAGTAGATGAACTTCAAGCCACATTTGTTCCCGTAGAGATCTTGGATGTTCTCATATCCTTATACGAGTGAAAATTTCGGGAATCAAGGAAGTGACACAACATTACTATTTAAAAATGTATTTATTGCTTTTCGAAGTATTCTCTGCGAAATTTGACACATTTTTCCATACGATGGAACCAATCATTGAAGAAACCATTCCATTCGGAAGTTGGGGTCTCCAAAATGGCCGTTATGTAGGCATCCACAGCTTCTTCGGGTGATGAAAATCTCTGTCCACGCAATTTATTCCTTATTTTAGGGAAAGTATAGAAATCATTAGGGCTTAGGTCGGGGCTGTACGGCGGATGGTCTAATAATTCTATGTTTTCTTGCTCTAAAAACTCTTTTGTTCTGTGTGCGGTGTGAGAACTCGCATTGTCGTGATGGAGGATGATGCGGCGGTTGCAGTTCTCTTTACGGAGTTCAGAAACGACCTGTGGCAAACAAATGCTAGCATACCATACTGCATTAACCGTTCTTTGTCCCTCAAGAGGAATAGTCGTAAAATGGCCGGTTTTGGAGACAAACGTGGCCACAATTTTTTTTGCAACACTCCGTGAACCAACAATTTTTGTTGGCTTTAACTCATTTTCGAACACCCAAACTCGTGACTGGTTTTTTGTTTCGGGTGCGTATGCATATATCCAGGATTCGTCACCTGATACGATGTTGTATACAGCATTTGAGGATCCTGCGTAGAATCTTTCGAGAGTTCTGGCGCACCAAGTAACGCGAACCGCTTTTTGCTCTTCACAGAGCGAATGCGGTATCCATCGGGAAAGCAACTTTTTTACACCTAATTGTTCATGCAAGATTATTTGTATTTGACTCATGCCAATGTCTAAAGTTGCCTGAATTTCGCGGTATGTCACATGTCGATCTTCCTCAATCAGCTTACGCACAGCATCAACGTTTTCTTGGGTGACTGCAGTTTTTGGACGACCACTGAGCTTGACACGTCCACATTGAAATTCAGCAAACCAGCGATAAATTGTGGTTTTGGATGGGGCTTCATCACCAAATGCAGAAATCATCCGGTC